CACATTATGGTAGTATACGAAAAAACATTTTTTTCATTTCGCATACATTAACTTGGCTAAATCGTGCGTTAAGCACCCTAGGGTTATCTCAAAAAAGTCTTTGAAAACTTCACATGTCTCAAAGTAATGATGATATGTGATATTAAGTTATCACACAATCATTATTGAATGATGATGAATGTATTTTTAAACTCGGGGGTATTATAAAACACAATAGCATGACAACATCAGTGAATGAACCCGACCAATGAACGGACACCAGTACGTTGAAATTTGCAACTAAAAAATTATCTATTTTATCTGCAATAAATTGATGTTAGTAGTTTTTATAACAAAAAAAAATAATTTTAATTAGTCTCTTACCTAATGTCACAATTATTAATATAAAATTATTCACTCAATTTATGAATAATTCAATTTTCAATTGTTGTATTAGTTAATTTAAAATATTTGTACATAATTACTATGGAGAATATTTTAAAAAACAAATATTTATTAGTCTAATGAGTGCGACATCAAAATATAAATGAATAAAGAACATTAAAAGATAAAAAAAACTCTTAACTGTTAATTCACTGATAAAATCACCTTATCATGCATTACATAATTAAAAGTTATATAATTTTTATTACAAATTAAAGAAACATTTTTCATTTACCAACATTTATGGGCGGAAAATTCATTTTACTCTAATTAAGAAATTTATCTTAATAATTTTGCAAGTTAATTAAATTACAGATTGAATTAGTTTGAGCATAAAACTTTGTATTATCAACAAAAAGTAGGATTTAAAATGTCCATTAAATGTTAGAAGTAAACCTATGAGATACATTTTACAATACTTTAAACTCATCAAATGTATGAAATGATAACTTTACCATTTGAATTCAATTAGTAAAATAATATGCATTTGTAAAGTTTCAACTTACACCTTCCCTTTCCCTTTTAATAGGAGAATTTTTATTGGGAAAAAGGGAATTGGAACTTGACCTTTTTTCATATTTAGTTATTTGTTCAGGATATTACACATTTCTGCTGGCTTAAGTCAGCACAATACAGAATTTTCAAAAGTTACTAAAAATCAAAGCGGATGGCGTCGCATATTCTGCCATCTCAAATGACACTTTTCACTGTATGATTATACTGGAAAATTTGTCATGTTTTTTCCTTTGCTTACACTGTAAGACCTACTTTTGTACCAAATTTCACGTTTCTACTCATACGAGAAATGCTTTATAATTTTGATGATGAGTCAATCAGTCTGTAAAAATGTGAAAACTTTGGAATTTTTTCATTTTAAAATGGCTTAGACTAGGATTTTACACATTTTTCTAAACTACTAGAGTCTAATCCATATTTCAAATTTGAAAAGCATATCTTAAGAAAAACAGAGATATGAGGATAAGGAAAATGAAGTAAATTGTTTTGTATATAACCAACCTATAATACATAAAGACAAACTAAAAAAATATTTCATGATTAATAATTTGAGAAAAACATGCCACTAAATAAACTAAATATATCTATCTGAAATTTATTCATTATTTGCATATTCATACAGCTGGAAATAAGAAATGTAATAATAATATTCGACAAAAACCAGTTCGTATGACACTATAAGTTAATTATAATATAGTAACAGACATGTATTGCTGGAAGCTATTATAACAATAATTGGTTCATGAATAATTATACTTTCATAGAAAAAGACCATTATTTTTATTCAAATAATACACCTTGATTGGATCTTACAAAATATTTTTTTGTTAATTTGATTATCGATTAACTTAATCACTTGATTTTCGAAATGTGTTTTTTATTTTTTATCTAATTTAAATTTAATCCTATTTAATTATATTTTACTCGTTAATAAGTAAAATAAAAATGAATTTTATAGCAAAAAATATTTATAAATTACGTTTAATCTCAAAAATAACTAGCATAAATATTTTTTAAAATGAAACGATTCAAAAATTAGTTTTCAATTTTTATCAAAATTAAAAATGTTTAAACGATTTTATTTTAATTTTTTCTTGAAAAGATTTTATTCAAACAAATTTGGATATTCATTTCATTTTAACTACTTTCTTATAAATTCTAATGCGAAATTCATAATAAAATCTGATTGATTTTAGATTCAAGATTTGCGTTTTAAATGAAGTTTAGAAAAAACAATTTCAAAATTCTATTGATTGTTTAATATATTTATTATATTTAATTAAAATCTAAAAAAATTAAAAATATATAAATTACAATAATAATTTTTTCAGTAATCCTATAAAATCAATCATAATATTATACACATGTAGTTTTGATATAATATTGATTTAAATACAAATCAATACATTTAAACCTTTTCATTTTCTTAAACTTCGACTATCACAATAATATTTAAAAAAAAAATACAATTTATTGATTTCTTGGTCGGGGAAATGGTAATAATTTAATTTTGTGAACCATTGAGGTAATTCATTCTAATGAACAACCTTAATGATTGATTATATGAGATAATGCATACTAAAATTAAAAACGTATTAATTCATCTATTAGCTTTTCGTTTATTGATCTAACATTAACGTCAAGCCAGAAACCTTTTTATACAAAGCGCGATTTAAAAAAAAAACCTTTGATAGAATGTTGATTTCTTACTATGACTTTTTGTATATTTAAATTTGTTTGAAATAATTTACTGTATTCTTTAGTAATAAAAACTGATGGTATCCATTGTACCATCCCTGATACATTCATGTACACATGAATACCACTTACAATTCCAATTAATATTTTTCATTTTATTCAGAACTCGCATGGTTAATCATAAGAAATATTCTCAGAAAAAAATTAAAATATAGAATTTTAATAATTAAAGAAGAATTCCAGTTTATCAAACTATTTTTTTGGGATTATATAAGTGTAAACGTATAAAAACGCAACAATTATTTGTATAACTGTGAATGAAGATTTGGTAAATTACTAATCATATTAATAAAATAAAAAACACGCTTATAAAAATAAAAGTATACCGAACAAACTTTTGTCAGCTTACAATAATTGACAAAAAAAGAGAGTTATCGACTTCTTTTAATGGAATTTAAAACCATTATATCGTCATTATTCTTGTCTTGTCTAAACTGGCATCAATATAATTAAATCGAGTTAATATAGATATAATCAGTTCCAGCCATTTTGATTTATCTACAAGCGAAAGCCTTTAAAAAGTTTAAACAACTTCCAATCAGATTACGTTCGACGGACTACAATCGGTATTCTCTTAAATCTGACTGCTGTCGCAGAGTTCATTATCCACCGTTATAGTACCTTTTTAGAGGATCGGGTGCCGACAACAAACATTTCTTGTTGTTTTCCCAAGTAATTTAAATACAACCCGAAACGGTTCGTTACCACAACGTTGGCAGCGTAACAATTTTTCGTATTTTTAAACCTTTCAAATATTCTACTTTCTTATTACGATATATGAGAAAATCTTCGCAGGTTGAAACACTCGCCATGTGTTTTTAACAGTACCATTGACTATTTACTCGTATTACTGATGTGTAAGGCGAACTTATAAAGGTTACGAGAGTATGATATTACCTACTCGGCAAAATATTTAATTTGTTTATCATATCTTACATATATTTAAACCAAAGAGAAGAGGTTTTGTGAATGTATGAAAATATTTTAAGCAGTATTGAAATATAAACCCACCCCTTTTATTATTATTTTTTGAGAACCTTCTACTATTACATACAACGATATTCTTGAATCTTTTTGTATTAACTCAAAAACTATTTGTATTATGATTAATAATTATTTCAGGGAAGATCTTGAACATGTGATCTTTATTGTTATTATGAGTAAATATATATTTTAATATTGAACTTTTAACTGGACCATTGCAAGGGTAAGGCAACCCAGCTGATGATCGCCCAAGGCGCCAATAACTCTTTCAAAACTACGGGGTGGCAAAACGTCTGTTTTTATAAGTATAAAAAAAGACGCTCACATAACGTTTAGCTTAGGGTGTTATAATACCACATACCAGCTATTATTTTTAGTTTTTTAAGACAATACTTTGGCCTTGAAGCTTCTACTCGAGTAGGAAGGGATTCAACCTCCTCCTAATTGTTCTTTTTTACAAAGATTATACTACACGCTTTTTGAAGCAACGAGAAGACGATTTAATTTGCAAGGTTATTTTGTCTAGTGTATAATATGATTTTTATAACACGTGTGTGTTTTTATCACACGACATGTCTCACGGTATGTCAATACTATAGTAAATCATCAAACAGTATTTTTGGTTAGTATTTTTTAAAACCACACATTTTGTATGGATTGTTTAATTACTCGTCCTATAAATTATACTGTTTAAAAGAAATAAAATTTCTTCACTGCCGAAAAATATTTAACGGATATAAGACTTATTATAATTATTACATTACTAATGTATATCTGTCTGTTCTGTGTGTGATACTATAGGTCACGGTCGCGGTCATTACTATTCTGTTTTGTTGATATAACATGGGTTTTATTTTCTAAAATAATTATGCGTAAGACGCACATGTTAGTATAATGTTTACTGTACTATGCCGGTAGGGTAAAAGTGGTAATAGTGGCGATACCGGTGACAAAACTATTGTTAATCAATATAATAAAATTAAAAAAAAAAACATTTTCATAATAGTGTTGCTTGGTTTTTTTAACCCATTTTTCATTTACAAAATAATGGAAACCAATCTCAAGTACAAAAACCCCGCGTGCTGTCATGTGATTCGCAGCTCGTGACCCCATCCCCTCACTTCACTCCATATTTAAATCGGTTGATCATCTCTACGCCGATAAGATGTCCAAAGTTCCAACCTCAATCATTCTCAAAGTATCCATTCGTTTAAAATCAGATGAAATCGGTCTCAATGATGAATTTATTCACTACACATGCGAGTCGCACGATACCGCCACCGTCAAAATTGAACCATTTTATAACTGATCGCACTTACCCCGGGTCATTGGGAACCTCAGCGGCTACTGTGACTGCTTCTTGGCTTTGCGATTCCATATTTTTTAAACTACCACTAAGTTTCGTCGACAACTTATAAATAAATGAATGAGCAGTTGTCGCGGGCACTGTAACAACGCGTACGCACAGATCACCGGTAGTATTGTTAACAATTGGAACTTTAATGTTTATTTGCGTAAATTACACGGATGAGGGATGAAAACACAGCGGTGACTAAGACGGCGGCAGTGACAAGATTAAATAGTTAAACTACTAAATCGTAGACGACCACGGTTGATCGATGAAGACACCACACCACTCACACGACGATTATCTTCTAGCTTAATTTTTTATTTATTACTGAAAATATTTACAATATTACGTGATTGGCGACTACCCGATTAATCCGTCATTTACGTTTATTTTTAATCTATATAGATAGATACAAACACATAGATACATACAATTTATTTTATCCGTATATAATATAATAAATATATATCAATATACGTAGTTAATATTATAATATAATGAATATTTAAATATATATATTTAAATATATGTATGTATATTTAACAAATACTGTTTCTGCAAACTACGACTAACCACTACTAGTGGGAGGTGTGCTTTTTTAACGCACACGGTATGCTCCCGAGCGATCGCGCTAAACGGATATGTTCGACTGAACGATGCGGCGAGTGACTGGGCCCGCCGCCGCTAGTTGCCGCGCAATGTCAATGTGGCGAGTAGGGCGGTGGTGGTGTCGGAGGCAGTGGCGGTGGTGGTAGTGACGACGGCGGCATCACCGGTGAGAGGACAGGGGTTCCGCCACAGCCTGCCGGCGTGCGTGAATGTGTGCGCAAGACGGCGGTGGATGCGTTCGCACAGGAAACACCGTTGGCGAGCGCGTGCGCCCGACCTATCGCCGGAACCGCCGCTTCAGACGCTAACGGCGACGGCCTTAATGAGTATGCAACCGAAATGGCACGCCAGTCGATACTATTACAGCACATGAAACCTTATCTGTCCGTAACTACTAGATTCAATGCTGATATTCCTCCCCTCTTATAAGCTAATCATACATTTTTTTTAACATCCCTTAAGCATTTTTGATTACACAAAGCAATGTAGATTCTTTTTCTAGCTAATACTTAACAATAAACAACAATACTTAACATGAACCACACAGGCTTGGTGATTTTTTAAATCTATTTTATTTAATGTTTTATAACACCTCTATAGTCTTATAATTAGCACATACACTTCAGAAACAATTTCTGTTTTAAGTTTTCTTTACCAATTTTCCCATCCTGTTTAATCTTTTACACTACTTTATTCTCACTGTATACTGATTTTCTTCTTTCAGTTTTAATTGTAAGACGTTTATAAATAATAAATAAATATAAAACGTCTAATCTTTTTAACGTTCTAATGCGTAGTAATTAATTTTTACTATAAAGCTTCTACTTGAATGATTTTTTTCACTTTAATGTTAAATCAATTAAAAAGACTATTAAATGAAAATTTAAAATGTAATTTTCAGAAAAAAAAATTATAAATATATCTGGTATAAAATTTACCTATAGTTAATCAAATTGTTTTTAATGTTAATTCATTCAATACTAGTTAAATAAAAAATAAGTATAGATAATAATTTTTGTATAAAATATTTTTTTAGTGAATTTTGCATTGAAAACTTTTTATTAGCTTTACTTAGACATACATATTCTATTTACAATATTTTATTCAAACATCAAACTTACTATTACCATGCATAGTAGTAATAGATAATTAATATTTGTACCAGATATTTCGACATTGAATGTGGGTTATGATGGTTAAGTGCTCTTTTATAAAGCTTTAAATTATCCTGAGATTTGCACCCCTAAAATCATTTTACGTTTTAAATGACAATCAAAAGATAACTATTTAAAATAAATATTCTTACTGAAACAGCATTAAATAAATTATGAAAGTAATTGTAGAAATGGAATTCTTTAGAGTCTATATAAGTTGAAATATAATAATTTATTGAACTTTAAGTGATTAAATAGAACAATGTAGAATATAAAGCAGTTAATTTTAATTGGTTATTTTTGTTAGATGTAATTTTAAGGTAAAAAGTTTTACTGGTAGTTCAATGATAGAATATAGTAACTTTTGTTTTGTTTTTTTTTTGTTATCAATTATTGGAAATATTTAACATTTCCACTATAGTGACAGAATGATATGTAGAATACAATAAAACTAAATTATTATTTAGAACCTTCAGATAGATAACATATTTTATTATTTAGGTTTTCTTTAATTTATTCATAGGACTTTTTCATTTTGAAAAAACGTAATTCAAGCAAGGTTGTTATTTACGAATCGCAGTATATATTTATGTATCATGACCGTTTCTAAGCTAACAAATATGGGGGACGGTAAAAAAATTATTTTTGGCGACTGAATCTTTTTTTCAAAATCATAGGGCCTATTTTTAATTTTTTGGTAACATCTTTTTATATTGATATTAAATTGCTGTATAAGATAATTATATATTTCTGAGGTAGAGTGACAATCCCCTATCCCCCTCCTAAGACGGCCCTGTACGTACCTAAAATCTTGTGTTAGGTCTCTTTGTTATATTCTGGCAAATTTGAGTCTCCTAATATCCAAATAAAAAACTCATTGCCCGTACCACACTACAATATCTATACATACTAAAATAAATCTGTTAAAAATGTTGTCCCTATAAATAAGACAGGACTTTTTTCAAAGGAGTCAATAATATTCAATTAAATAAAAGTTTGTATTCAAACTATTGTATAAATAATATACTTTTCTGTTTTGTTTACATAAAAATATTTCTACATGTATTAATATTTAAGTATGTCAACAATTTATGTAAAATATACAAAATTTTGCAAAACTTATCAAAAAAAAAAAAATACAAACCTTAAACTTCTCCATTCAGGTATCAATACAGATATTTAACAATTAATGAAAAAAAATTCAACACATTTATTAAACACTTAAAAAAGTTTCAAACAGACTAAGATCGAAATTTTTATTAAATTTAGTTAGCCTGTTTCAAGTTTATTCAATAACACGTGACGATCACCGAGAAAATGGCGTTAGTTCAAAGAAATAATTTGATACTAGCAGACTAAGTTATATGAATTGGGTAATTACCAAAATTGGTTATATTAATAAATGAGTACAATGTAGTGTTAGTAAAAAAATTTTAATATTAAATCAATTTTTTTATTGTTTTTAATGAATACGTTTTATAATTAATTATTTTTTTATTATAAATTTTATTAGATTAATTTTTAATAAAATAAAATTTGTTAAAGCTAGAGACTGACTGAACATTTTTTTAAACATTTAAAATCTTTTTTTCAATTTTACTATCTAAAAGGCTTTTTTCCTGTTATTTTAGTAGGTAAACTTATGTCACCTACTAAGGCCAGTATTTTTATTATTATTGACCAGACAAAATTGAACAATAAATTATGTAATGAAAATTGAGAAAGTATTTTTTGTCTAAATAATTGTTTTAGCCCTCCCCTCCAAGATAATATTTGAATATACGTCACTGCCATTTCTGGAAAAAAAAATAGAATCGAAAAAGAAATTTGGTTCTACCACATTTATATTAAATATTAATAATCAAAGAATAAATTCATATTGAAGTGTAGGTGTAAAATATCTATATAATTTCTAAATTTTTTTTATTCATTCTAAATATCTAGATAATAATTTAAAATAACTTTGTATAGTATTATATTATTAATATATAGAGTATTTAGTAAGAAGGAAACAGGTCAATTGTTATAAACAATTAGAACAATAGAAACCTGTTTCCTTACTATATATTAATAAAGAAATAATATATTTAGTTGTAAAAAAATAGACAAACATTAAATGTTCTAATTGTAATTTGCAAGTTAACTTTCAATTACAACCGTTTCATATTCATATTTTTATTGGTAGTTAAAAAAAATTAATTAATAAATTTTTTTTCAATTTTGAATATCCTAAAAAGACGAGTAATTGATGATTAGCAAAATATTTTTAGATACAGCAACTTTAGGAAAAGATTTATGGTTTTCACCAATAATTTGTATAACTTTTAGAACAAATCAATGACATTAAATTTTATATCAACCTCTATGATATTATTTATTCATAGGGTTATTACAAAAATTTTTAAAATAAATAATATAAAATAACTAAATTTTGATTTTAACACTAATTTATTTTAATTAATTTTTTATATACACTACAACAAAAAGTGAACAACAATTTTTTATGTCATTATATCTAACAACTTCTTAATATATAGAATTTTACATATTTGACTCGTTTATTAATAGTAGATACTCATAATTAAAGTGTAATGCTTAAATTATAAATCAACAAAAGAGGAATAAATCTAATTTTTTTAAAAAATAATTAGAATTATGAATTGTAAATATTTATAAAATTTACTAGGATTAATGACTAACAATTAGAAGTCAATAAGAATATATTTTAAGAAATATCTATTAAAAATGGTAATTACACTATTTAACAAATAACAGGTATAAAATAAAAATTTTAAAAAATTATAAACTTAAAAAAGAATTAGCTTTTATAATTTATGATAATATATGTAGACTACTGTGGCTGGTTTAAAATAAAGATATAATATTAAACAACACAATAATTATAATTTTAATGTGCTTAATATGACTAGATTTGATAGTGTTTTATAGTTAGTACTAATTTACATTCCAAACTGTGTATTGACATTATTGTTAGATTGATTACCACTATTATTGCTACTAGCAGACATAAAACTATTTTCAGCTGCTAATAGAGCCGTAAGAGTGGAATGTGTAGTTGCCAATCCAGTATTATTATTAGGTGATAAATGAGCAATATCATTTTGTTGAGGTAATCTTTCACCATACTCGAGCATATTTAATGCTTCAGCTAGAGTAGTTGATGTACCTAAAATTAGCAAAATAAATAATATCTTTAATTATAAATTTAATTTTTTTAACTGTATAAAATGATGTAGTTTTTTAAAGTCTTTAAAATGTTCCAATAAAGATATCATTATTTCAGAATTAATAACACATTTTAGTTGTAAAAATATACTAATTGAATCATAAAAAGATATATGGTTTTGAAAAAAATTTTTTTGCTAAAATCATTTAATGATATAGTTACGTTTTTTTATTTAAAATAGGAAATTTATAAAATACAACTATTTTAAAAATATTTTTAAGATTTAGAAATTGTTAATTTACATCCAGAAATCATATTTATTAAATAAATTATTTTAAAACATAAAATTAATTAAAATTACTTGGAATAAAGAAAAAGATATTTTTTTAATAGTGTTTTAAAATAGAAATAATTAAAAATATATATATCTAATATCCATGTTTTTTAGGTTTTGATTCTAACAGAAAAATAGTAGAAAATCTATTATACTTTGAATGCACAAAAAAAAAAGAAAAAACCTGTACTTAGAAATAGCATATTTAGTTATCACCCAATGGATTTCCTTTTGGATGCTATGGCTTCCTCGTTTTTTACTAAATTGCCCAACCCAATGATGCTAATATATATTTATAAAAATAGAATAAAAAACCAATGAAGAAAATCATTTATTTCCTTGTTCTTGTATTTAAAACTGTTTTATTCAATGTATTAAAAATAAATTAGTCAACAAAGTAAATAAATTGATCATTTCAAATAAAACAATTTATGCTCTTTATTAACTTGTACTTTATTTATTTAATATTATAAAGTACCAATAATTTTAGTCTTAATTATTCTAGTGAGTATTAGTAATTTTAAAAAATTAAAATTTTACAATTCTTGTAATTGAATTTTACATTTTAATTTAAAAAATCAAGGTAAAATTACGAATTACTTTTTATAAATATGATTTTATCATAATAATTTCTCACTCATTGGCCAAAAATTTTCGTTTATTTAATCTTAAGAAGTTATCTGACAAAATGTATAAAATCTAAACAAGTATAAATCATATTTAAGACATATGTGTGCTTTAATGAAAAATTATGTGTTAAAAAGACAGTCAAAGTTAAAAGTAATAACTTTGAAAGCTTTTCAAAGTTATTACTAGATTTTACAAAATTGACCATTGAGTTTCATCTATTTATATTGTGTTTACACTTAAAAACTTAGAAATAAAGAAAAAGATATTTTTTTAATAGTGTTTTAAAATAGAAATAATTAAATTTGTTAAAAACAGAAAAATTAATTATTATTTAAATTCAAAGTTTTTGAAAAAACAAGGATATTTTAGTAGGTGTAAATATATTTTTTATCCATTTGATATATCAGTAAATTCATTATTAAAACAACAATTTCAAACATAGTTGCAAAATCATACAATTTACAATTTTTTTTTTTTTTTACCAAAGTTTTTTTGTTTATTGATGAGCAAAAATAAATTATTACTTATACAGAAGGTTCAGTAAATAAGGAAAAAGGTCAATTGATACAAACAATGAGAACAATAGAAACCCATTTCCTTACTTACTAAACACCCTATATAATATTAATTATAAAAGTACCTGCGTGTGGTTAATAACTAACATAGAATGTTCTACCTGATATCATGATGCTGCTAGATTCTGAATGAGCTGCTGATTGGGTAATAGATGAATTATTATTTTCATTTAAAGTAATACTGCAAGCCTAATAAAAAATTTAATTCTTATAATTATATTTTGTTATACACGAGTTATGCTTGCAATTTTAAACATAATTAATGATAGTTGCATACTGTTTGTTCTTCAATTTCTCCATTTTCAGTTATTATAATTTGTTGCGGGGACCGTATCTCGTCTGGCTTATGTATAATCATAGTAGAGCGTACTTTATTTAATATGAATTCTGGTAACTCAAATCCTTTCAATTCATGAGGATTATTCCTAAAAAAAACTTTATCTTTAAAATAATTTTTTTTAATGTATGATTTTAAAATTTAACAAAAAAAAGTTATACTTCTACTGTAGCATGAATATTTTTTATGTTATACAAAATATTAACATGTAAAATATGGTTTATATATTTTATATTATTTAACAGTGATGTAAAAGTTTTAATCCAATCACAAATTAAATCTTAATAATAATATACTAAATATCTAAATAATATAAATCTTCAGCAATAATAGTAGGTTACTATTCATAAATTAATCAACTCTTTCAAGTAATTGTAAATGCAATTTTTTAGATAAATGTACAAGTTTTTATTTTGAACTTACATTTAACATGATAGCACACATATAAAAACCAGAACTTTTTAATCTAAAATAAAATCTGCTAAATATTCTAAGTAAAAATGAATTTACAATTACCTCAATCGTTTACCCCACTTCTCCATATTAATAAGATTTTTAATTAATTGATATTTTCAATTAAATTTTTTTCTTTTAAAGTGAATATGAATTTTTAAATTCAAATAAAGAATTTAATATCACTTTACATAACATAATAAACAATTTCTTATTGCTTTACTTGTAATTGACACTGCTCAATAACAATTGAACATCTTCCAGAAGTAATATTGATGTGGAATTAGAAGGTGAAGGTGGTGGCAAAACAAACAACTTTTGCTTCATCAACCATTCTCGATCTTCTTGATCTATGGTATATTGAAAAAGTTCAGGGTGCTTATTGCATAAACGGCTACCCCTCTACAAAGTAAAAAATGAGTACATTTAAAAAAATATTTACATACAATATAAAATACTTACTTTATTAGCTCTTGTAGCTAACACAAAAAGTGTCTGAGAATGAATTTTTGAGGGATCCCAAGCAGATTGGAATCTTTGATGTTTTGTTAATGATGTTTGGGAAGATTGTTGATCAATTACTGGGGATAAATTATCATCAAGCTCTGGTATTGGTTCTTTGCGTTTTAATGGAGATCGATTCTAAAAAATGTTTATAACAAATACTTAAAATAATAAAGAAAAGGTTAGTTATATCAATTATAAAATATTATTATTACAAAAAGGAACTATAATTTAAATCACATAATAAATATTAATATAGGGATCCTTCATATATATATATATATATATATAGGTGTTCAGTAAGTGAGGAAACACATTTCTATTGTTTGTAATAATTTACCATTTTCCTTACTTACTGAACACTCTGTATACATAAAATAAAGCACATTTAAATAATTACTTTGGAATGTTGTTTAGCAAAACGTGATTCAATCAGCATATCTGTAGTTTGTGAAGTATTAAATGGTGAATTACTACCTGATAAAGGTGGATTTGAATACATGAGTTTAGCTTCATCCAACATAGTACGACAAACTTCTCTAACATGATCTTCTGTCATACAATTTGAACCCAAATTATTTTTCACATTATCAATAGCCACACCAAAATATGTCTAAGTTAAAAATATATACATTATATTCCTTGTAGTAGGAATAACATATTTGATACTGATATGTTAGTTTTACCGTCAAATATTTTCTAATCACATTATCAATCTCTTTATTGATAGAACTTTGTAAGTTTTGTCTTAATAAATCTAAAGACTTTGCAGCATTTACAAAGTTCTTAGCTCTCATTTTGGCAGCTTTTGTAGAAGCTTTATCATTTCCATTAGCAACATCAATTATATTAGCTAAAGTTACTTGTCGCATATTAAAAGTATTTTTCTGTTAAAAAATAAAGGTCACATTACAACACTTCATTTTAAATAATTAAAAAAAACTATCACTTTTACTATTTTTTTTTTAAAGAAGAATATTTACCCATGGCACAAAATTATCACTAGTAATAACTTCGAGATCAAACACAGGAGCTTGACGAACTAGTGGTACAGTTTTTGATGTTCTTTGTACTGTTCCAGTTGGCTGTTGAGATATTATTTGTAATTGAGGATCATCATGTTTTAAAGGAACTTTGTGTACCACCATTTTGGTCTAACAATAATAATAGTTTATAAAATATTTAATATTTACTGTTTATCTTAAAGAAAATTAGAATTATTGACAGAAAACTAATTCATTCATTGGTCAACCATAGGATATTTATCTGTTAAATCAATTAAAAAATAATTAATACATTCCTGCATTTATAGTTCGATTAACTTACTACTTACGCGGAAATACTAACTAAAGTAACATATTAACTTTTTTTAATAAATATTGTTCCTTAGTTTTCAATTACTTCCAAAATTGTAACAAATTACGACAAGAACTTAAAACATTATGAAAATTAATCTAAGAGATAAAACTAAATTTTTTATCAGACTCAATGACAGGTGTTAATCAATAATAGTTATTATAATATAAATTTAAAAATGTTATGCCTAAAAACCTTCTAAAAGAATTTTGACAAGTCAAAATTTGTTAAGGAGAAATGTATTATGCATTTTATTATTAATATCCTTTGTATTTCATAAAATTAAATTTCAAATTTTTTTATTTGATACAAACAATTTTAGTCTACCTGACTGCCACACTGATACATTGATTAGTTTTGAGTCTTATCAATTTACTTTCGAATTATATTTTAGTTAATTTTTTTTCACATATTGATCGTTTTTTAGGAAATATATAACATTTAGTTAACATAATATTATATTTTATTATTTTCAATTAAAATTCTATCATGGCTAATGTTTTAGAAACTGTTAGAGATGATGATTTTGTAGAATATTATTTATTTATTCGAACAGATATTGTTCCTAAAGGTTGTGAAGAGTGTGTTAATTACTTAAACAACTTAAACGACAAAATTTTAGAATGGGTGGAACAATCGTCCAAGCAATATATATGGCATAAAGATCGATTTAATTTAATACCTAGATATTGCCCAAATGATGAACTCTGGCGATCCCTTTCCAACAATTCAAAAAATGGTATAACAAAAAAATTATATATAGCCATCATTTTTAATTTCATTACTAAAATACCTACATTACAGTTCCTCTGCCACCACATCTATATGGAGTAACTCATTATGGTGACAATATTGAAGATGAATGGTTCATTGTATATTTGCTTAGAGAACTGTCTAAGAAATTCAATGAATTAATAATTCGGTAAATCAAATATTTTTACTAGAAAATTTGAAACATTTAAAAATATCTAAAATTTAGTGTTATAGATTCAGATGGTGAATTTCTTTTAATTGAAGCTGCTGAATACTTACCAAAGTGGGCAAGTCCAGAGAATTGTGATCAAAGGGTTAGTATAGGACAATTGATTAACTACTCTAATACCTTCAAAATTGTAAATAAAATATGATTTTTTTTTATTAAATTGCATCATTTTTTTAAATTAGCAACATGCATGTTAGTCTAATTTAAAACTTTTTAAGTGATCAAATAAAAAAATTAACCCGTTTGATAAATTTTAATAGTTATGAATACTTTAAAATAAAACATTAGGGTATTATGTGAATTTTTTATAATAAGAAACTGGTTGACTACTTTCCTTCCTTAAACATATTAAAAGTATTTAAAACTTTTAAATATTAATCGAAAAGTTGTAATTTATTAATTAAATCTTTTTTATTGTTCAGAAATAATATAATTATAGTGAATTTAAATCCATTAGGAAAGCTAATATTATATGACATTTAGAAAATTTAGTATATTGATAGTCTTTATTCCCAATCTGAAATCACCACTAAGCATATAGTAACCTAAAATTATCAAAAATATAATCAAATCGCTTTTCAGGTTTATATAAGCAATGGTGATGTACATATCATTCCATTATCTAATGAAAATAAAAAATCCATTGCAGTTATCCAGGCATTAGAACAAATTTCCAGGTATCCTACTGCTACAATTGCAAATTCAGAAGTGAATTCTTCTATATCATCTCGCATTCATGGGTACTATCGTTAATAGTATATTAAGCAAAATAAATAGTTATATTATTAATTGCATGAATATTTTTAGGTATCCAGAAAAAATTAAAGAAAACTTGCATAAATGTCATGCTTATTTACCATTAAGTGTTGCATACTTGTTAAAGTACCAACCTAGTTTAATTGCGCCAGCAGTTTTATCATTTTGTCATAGAGATCCTTTAGATATTCGGGCATGCCGTATGATGAAGTAATTTTTAAAATTAAAATCACATGTTGGAAATTTTTAATATCATCATTTGGCTATTTTTTAGACATTTCCCACCAAAAGATAGAATAACTCGTTCTGTGATTATGACTAAATGTTTATATGCAATGCTTGTTCATCAAAAATTTATACCTGAAAGAAAAGCTGGATGGAATTTAGTAGAATCGACAGATTCTCAATATAAAGCTCAGTTATTAGGAGTAAAAATTGTAAGTATTTTTAATAGTTAACACAATGATGAATAGAATTTTCATTAAAAAAATATCAATATTATATATATTTAGGCATGTGGATTTGAAATATTAGCCTCACAAGCCAAATCAGCAGTAAAGGATACATCTGTAGATTTGACTTACGACAAACGTTGGCATCAGTATAAATCAGCATTAATTGAAAAAGGATATTTCAAAGTAACATATATTTTTTAAATAAAAACTATTAAAACTATTAAAAACTATTCAAATATTTTTTTGAATCACTATACACCAAAAGTGCAAAATTTACTTTTTTTATATAAATAAGTTGAGACTATTTTTGAAATACTCACAGAATAAGGATTTAAAAAATAATGTGACTTATAATAATATAGCTCTTTAGTACTAATTTATAATTTTATTTTTATTTTCCATAGAATCTAAGACAATTAGAGTTTTTTCCATCTTTAATGATACTTTACTATTTTGTTTTCTTGTTCAACTCAATATTGTTATATACTTTTGAAAAAATTTTCATGCAATGTATAATTATTTCTAAATTTAAACATGCCTCTTTATAAACTTAATTTCTAAATAACTTACATAGAGTGAGTAAATGTAGAATTATGTGCAAATCAAAGTTTCGCTAAGTTCAGTTTTTGAAAATTTTCTAAAAAATTAAGATCTTTTGAAATAATATTACACTTTCACAATATTAGAACATTTTCTTGAATATCCTAAAAAGACTTAAATCTTTATCCAACCTAAAAAAATTATTAATAAATCTAAATTATGAACTTTAAATTGTCTTCATTACTAAAGGATAATGTGTGATATACATTTATTCTAAATATTAACATAATAATATAATAATTAACTATTCAAGTATAATTATTTGTTATTTTTATAATTATTAACATAATTAGAAATAAGCAAAAATAAAAAGAATTTCACAAAATTAAATGTGTTTTTAAATGTTTTGAGCATCAACTTTGATTTTTTTGAGCTAAGTAATTTATTTTATTTAGTAAATAAAATATAAAATAATTTTTAAGTTTGACATAATGATTCAAAAATGTATTTATAAATTTATTCGAAATTGTATTCTACCAAAGTGTGAATATTAGTTTTTAAGACTTATAGTTTTAAACAGTTTGCCTAAAAATAAATTCAAAAAATGATGTGTATTTGTATGTAAGACATTTTTTAAGAAGAGAAAATTATAGGAAAAAATACAAGGAGAAAATCCTAAAGCTATGTTCTCTCTATTGACTAATACTTATATGGTTTTTTAAGTTTTTTAAGTATATGTAATTTTTAAAAAAAATCCTTTCTTTTCGGTTTACCAATATGTTTTTAAACATTTTTTGTTTACTTACAGAATTTATATGAAGGTTCAAATGGGTACAAAGTTCTAGAAGATCAAGCTAAAGATTACTATCTTACTAATATAGAAGAGTATTTATCATCACCTTCTATTGGACAAAGAATAAATACCATTTTGAATCGTATTACTGATGATGAACTTTCTATTTTAAAACAAGATATTGCTGATCTCGAACCTGAAGATGATGAAAAATGGTTAAATGTATCAGCATGTGAATTAGACCAGATTCTTGAACAAAAATTTGGAATAAAAAATTCTCAACAAGTCCCTTCATCATTTGCTTCAAGTTTTTCAGATACAATAAAAAGATTTTTAAATCAAACTTCTGATGTAAATGGAGCTGAATTTTCAAATAATCATCTAAGGTAATAAAATTTAAGATTGAATCAGATATAATATAAGATTTAATGTAAAACTATTTAAATCTATTCAAGTTGAGTTAAACTGAATGTATATGACTAAATATTATCTTAACATTAAAAATAATATTTCCTGTAATAAATTTCTGATTACTATTATAATTTCCTTTAGATATTTTTCTATTTATATTCTTCTACACCCTAAGGGATGCTTATATTTCAACATAACAATGTCAAATACAAAATATATTTATTGTTATAAATAATAATTTACTGTATAAATATTTATTGGTAATTGTGACTGTGAATATTTCATATACATTTTTATACTTAAACTTATAAAAATATAAAAAAACAATAAAATAATTATTCATTTTTTAGCGATGATTCTTCTAATTCAGAAGAAAATGAAAAAATAAGTAATATTTCACCAAATATGCTTACTTGTGGACCAGATGTGATGTGTCCAACAAATGATGATAAATTTTCAGTTTCAAGTAGATATAAAAAAAAAAAAACCAAAACTATAAGTAAAAATAATGTAAATTTTGAACCAGAAAAATATGAAGCAGCTCTTCGCAACATTTTAGGTATGATTTAGATAAATAAACTGTATTTGTCTACAAAATGTGTATATTAAGTATATCATTTTTTTTTTTATAATATATTTATATTATAAATTCATATATCATAGATTTCAAAGTACCTGAGGATAACTGGAATGAATCTGATAGTTCCGATATGGATTCTTATGGAAGTGACTGTGATGATTTAATTTCCAACGGGAAATTAGGCAAGTATTGAATTAAAAATTTTTATTTGTGAATAACAAGTATATTTATATACACAATTAATTGTAATAATTTAGAAAACCACTCAGGACCAAGTATATCTAATTATATGGACCAAATGGATAGAGAACTTGCATCTACTTCTTTAGGAAGTAGTTTTATTAAAAAATCTACTTCTAGTAGCACTAAACTAAAGGTAATTCATTCTATAAGCTGAATATAACATAGTAAAAAATTAAAATTTTTTTTAATAAAATATATTATTTGTAGAAAAATGTAAGAATAGCTCCTACTGCAACCTGTGAAGATGATAGCGATTATTCTGATGTTGAACATTTTGAGCCAGTTGATATAGATGTTAATGCTTTCCAAAATATACTGCAATCATATCATGAACAGCTTGGTTTGCCTGGACCTGCTGGTAATTTGTTAGGACCTGCTGGTTTAAATATAGTCCAAAATCCCCCACCTAAATAGTTGTTAGTGTACAAAAAATTTGTAACAATATAACTTATTGTTTTTCTTTTTTATGAAACCTACATTATTTTCATAAGTCTTTTTAATTGTAATTACTATACTTTTATTTTAGAAATATTGTAATATTCAGCTTGAGATATCAAGAAAAATATTTAAAAATTATATTAAATTATTTGTCATCATGTAATATTTTTATTTTTTATGTTTAATAAATAAATGTTTAAGACATTTTTATAACATTATTTGTTACAATAACATTATTATTTTTTTAAGTAATATCAGGGTATCTACAAAAGTTGAAAAATATTTTTGACTGTGGGTTGAATTACTTGTATAATATATTGTAAGATGATACAGAATTAGTGTTTATAAACAATGTAATATTCTTGGTTTAGTGACTTTCCAAGAGGAAGATATAAATCAAAAGGTTTCTCTTGACAAAATATCTGTTCATTTCAAAAGTATAGTATAGTATTAGCTGTAACCAGTAATATTTGAAAGAAATGTTTTTGAATCTGATAGGAAATTATTCCTAATTTGAGTTTTGAAATTCCAACATTAATCATTTAGCATTTTAAAATTATTATTTGGGAATATTTATAGTAATCAAAAATGATAGAAACAGTAAATTAATTTTATTAAACAAAACTAATTATTATAAACAGTAAATACTAAATAATCAAAACTAAAAATCAATACCTTCACAACTACATATCAAAACCAATTTTAAAAAATGATTTTCAAATTTAAGCAACACTTAGGACTAGAATAATTTGCAAAATATCAACCTTAATTATTTTTCAATAAATCATCAATCTTTACAAATAACAGTCATAGGTAATAAAATATACAACGTTCTTTTAATGGTACAATAGGAAAATGTATAATCTTTATCAATAAATAAAAAAGGGACAAAGTTCATTATATTGTAAGTACTAAAAATGATAAAATTAATTATTTTAAGGATTATCAAAACGATAAAAATTCTTAAATTAAGTAGGGAGACTTTTTATAATATAAACTTGTATGTATAAATGCGTAATATATTTTATTTACACTCTTAGTTAGTGTAATAATTATTGTTACCGTGGCTTGATGGTAGGCAATCCGAAAAATATTTATGGTTATTGAGATTACTTGTAAAACGATTACAAAGAATTTAAATTATTTCTAAATTCTAGTTGTTTGTTGGGCATTTTAGTAAGTTATTGTACGCATATGGACGAAATCGAGGTAGTGCAAGATATTAATGGAGTTGAACAATTTGATATGCTTAAAGGAACGAAAATGAAAAAAAATAAGCAGCATTTAACCAAACCTTTGGTATACACAATTAAAGAAAAACCGCCTTTTTGCCTTTCGTTAATGTTGGCTATTCAAGTACGTCAAAAATAAACTAATATAAGTAACATCCCTGTGAATGAAAATTATCAGTGAACAAACGCTACTGATGTTATAGCTTAAAAGTCTAGTTGTAATAAATTGTATTTAGTAATTTTTATAAGAATGGAATCATCTAAATTAAATCCTACTATAACATCACAGTTTTTTATAAATATCATTTCTATTCATTTACCGAAAGTTTCAAATTTTCAATTGTTGAGTTAGTAAACTATAAAAATTATTACAGACAAATTTTTAGAGAACAAATATTTTTAATTTTATGAGAGAGACATCAATAAATAAATTAAAAATTCTTTAACTGTTCATTCACTGGTGATTTCATCCTATTTGAATAATATAATCTTAAGAAATTAAATCAATTCACATGCTCAACGAAAATTAATTTAAGTAATTATTTTATGATTAATCAATATAAATAAAAATTTTACAATAAATTAAAATGTTTAAATTAATAGCATAAATTCTAAAACATTTTTATACCAATAAATAGAATTAAATTTAGAATTTACAGTCTTAAATTTTCAAATAGATAATAGTAAAAATACCTAGAAAAGATTTTTAAATATTAGATTTCATGTTTTAAAAATTATTTTTTATTTTAGCAAAGTATTTATTTATCAATCATAAAAATCACTTTTAAAGATGTAGAAAAATAATATAATTACACTTGTACAATTTTTTAATACCTAATAAAATCTTAATATTCAAGAAGGAAAAGAGGGTCACTGTCAGTCCTAATTTTATTAGTAGCCAGTGATAATTATGAATTTTTTCTTAAAATTGTTGTAACTATTTAAAAATTTTAGAGTATGCATTACAAAAAAATAATGATTTTTATAACATTAGTTTTATGGCTAAATGTTTAAAGATGAGATATAAAAAAATACGATTTTAAAGTATATTATATGTCATAAATATTGATTGTTATACATTTATATGTGCACTGGTGTACGCAAAATGAGTGGTGGTTAAACCCCCCCTCAAATTTATAAGCTTAGCAAGAATTTTGGACAATAAGTAATAACAATAAAAAAGATCATACCATACTATAAATATTTCCACAATAAATTAATCAAAAACAGGAATTTTTGTGAGCGAACAATATGGGCAGTGTCACATCTAATTTTCTTTAAATTTCAAAAAACCCCACCAAATTTAATTTCTGAGTACGCCACTGTATATGTGTCAACATTTAATATCAATTGAGCTATTAAAATATGAGTAACTATTACTATTATATAGATGTTCAGTAAGTAAGGAAACGGGTTTCTATTGTTCTCATTGTTTTTAACAATTTACCTTTTTCATTACTTACTAAACACTTTATATAATTATATGGTAACTAAAATGTTTAAATTATTCTCCTCAAAAATTGAATTTTTTACACTTATCAGCTATTACTGAATATTCTAATGTACATGATCATATTATACTTACATTTATCGATGTCTATAGAATGTCGTAACTACAATAGCTGGTGCACTTATTGTAATTAATATTTTGGCGCCCAAACTTTGTATATTACCTGAAGATCCAGCTCAAGCATACTTATTGTCCACCACAATATTAATGGCGGGTACAAGTACGCTAATTCAAACTATCTTGGGAATTAGGTAATTATTATATTAATAAATAATCATGAAATTTATAATAAAAATTAATAATTGCAGTAAACGTTAATAATTATTTTTTATTCAAAACTATTTCTAGGCTCCCTATTACACAAAATAGTGGCTTTGTTTACATGATTTGTTCACTATATATACTAGATATGCCAAAATGGCAATGTTCAAACGAAGGTGATCTTTATTCTATGGGCCCAGAAGCTAGAACTTTAGAATGGCAACTACGAATTCGAGATCTCCAGGGAACTATCATTATTATCAGTATTATTCAAATGTTATTAGGTTACAGTGGTATGTTATAAAAATAATAGTAGTAAATTATTAGTCCATCAAATAGGTCTATTGCAAATTATAAAGAATTACAAAGAATGATGATTTTAGTTTATACTTTTTTATGATATAAACATTGTTTCGTTTTTTATTAAATAAATCATTTTATAATTAAACAAAATAATGTATCAATATGTAACTAATCGTAGGCACAACTAGAATAAAAAAAAATTAAAGGTGATTAATTAGTTTCCCGTTACTAAACTTTTTATTAAATAACAATACAAAATTATTGGTTTATTATAAACCACTCGATTGTTCATAAGATAAATACAATATTGAAAAAAAAATGTTTTAATTTATTTTTAGTTACATACTGGGCCCTGCGAGTCTCACGCGTATAGTATAAATATAATAATATAATAGTATAAGGTTAACATTTATTTACTGAAGTATTCACTTCCGGTGTATTTAATTTTTTTTACTTTGGTAAACATGCTATAGATATTTTTTTACTAAAAATCAAAATGATGATCAAAAAAAAGATCATTAGAGCCATATTTCATAGAAGTCGGCCTAAAATAATTTTAATAGCGCTGATTCAAGGGAGGCAATCGCTCATATCCCACTTAAATACGCTGCTGCTATACACACTAATTAATAATATTCTAATTATAATTATATTAATATTATAAAATAATAACAGAATATTTCCGCAGGTTTTTATTCTTGAGACTATATAATAAAGCCAATTTTGATAAGATTATTGGTTACTGTAATTATTTGACGTTGTACAGCATAGTTGTCATAAATAGATATCAAATTTTACAATAAACTAATGGACTTATACATTATATATGAGATAAATAAGATTATTAATACTGTACTGTTTTGATAATCTATATACAAACTTATATACTTATAACCGTCCTGAAATTGATATATAACTAAAAATCATTCCTTAATAAAATATACAAAATATATTGCTATGCGCAAATGCAAAATTCTATCCTAATATAACTCTGCCTGGACATAAAAAAAAAAGTTCAAACTGAAAAAAACACATTTAACCAGTAAATTGATTATAAAGCCAAAGTTCAAACAAAAGATTTATATAACAATAAATTTGATTAATTATATCAACAAATTTTGTATTATAAACATATTTAAAAGAAATTGACAGAAAGTATCTGTATACTTAATAAACCAAACATAAAATATTAAAATAACTTACATAATATCAAAACAAAAAAATATTTAATAAACAAATCAATTCATATATGACAACTATAACATGTATTAAATATGAATTAAAGCGAAAAATTGACATAAAAATTCATTGTCTACAATTCAGAGTCTATATATATATATATATATATATATATATGTGTGTGTGTGTGTGTGTGTGTGTGTGTGTGTGTGTGTGTGCAAAAATGAGACTATATCTTTATTCAGACCATGCGCGAGGACAATCGTTTTCATGTCGTGAAATGTCGCAAGAATTTCGGGCGGCGGGCCCTGGATTCTCGAGTGTATAAAAAAAAAGCTAGTAGAACGGTAATAAATGGTTTGAATTCATTTTTATATGATATCTCAGAAATGTCTTTTGGCGGGTATGGTGAAAATTTCAAACCTTAAGTCGTAAAATGCTGTCATCAACGACCGTTTTTCTCGAAAACAGTCAACATTTTAAAATGTTCATCGGCGGCCGTCAAAAATTTTTCGTCCTTCGCCAATTTGCCCGGAGTCTCATCGAAGTACTTTTGTTATAAAAATGTTGAAAATCAGAGCACGCCAAATAATTTTCCCAGAAAATGCGTTGTTTTCCTTGTTTTATTATATAATAAGATATTTCTTGATTTATCAACTATTTCTTGATAAATATTTTATCAGTAATTTTTTACTTTATAATATTATCCCTTATAAATCATTAGGGTATCAACTTTATTTTTTTAATGTTGACGTACATATTTAACTTGCTTATAAAATAGAAAATAATCTAATTAAGAAAATAATGACGATTTGATAACAATTTTGAACTAATATTTTGTAAGTTATTAACATTGTAGAGTAACTGCTGGAAGTGAAACGTAGGTGTGGTTATTGTTATGACTAGTCATTTCCTGACCTTACTATTCTTCTCATCAAGGTATAAAATTAAAATAACTACAGAAAGTACTTGTCTAAAAAATGTTATCAAGCAGTTATTTTATATGCTAGTTATATAGGTATGTTGCTATTATAAAAATAAAGTTTAACTCCTATAACCTTTATATATATTTTTATTTTTTGAAATGCTAAATTTTTCATCTGACATATTCTATGTCTCTTAGTTCTTCATATAGTTACTTTTATGCAAAAATATACAATGTCCTACTAGGATTTGACATCTTTAGTAATTTTTGATCAAATGAATATTTTGCTTTATTTTCTTTTTTTTATAGTTTTGGACTACGTTAAAGCATCTTTATGCTATTTATCTCTAACAAAAAAAAAATTAAAATACAATTTTTTTGTTTTTGTGAAATTTAAATTTTTATCCTTGTAATTAATTATATATTCATCTGTAATTATTCACAGTCATTTTTTTGAAAATTTATCCTTAATTTATTTAATCACAATAAAATTTGCTTTTGAAGCAAAAGGTCTATGTTCTCTTATATAAAATTTCATTTTTAGTGTATTACCATATACAAAATATGCATATATATTCCTCTAATTGTATACGATAATAATTTTGTAAATATAAGCATGTATCTTATATGATCTATATTTACAAAGTTTTTAATTAACTAAATTAACAGTTTTAGTTGAGTCTTATAAGAAGAAAAAAATTTATTTGCTTCTCTTAAAAAGTACCAATGATGACACAAATCTTTCTACATATACAAACATAAAGAATTCAATAAAATATTGTTTTTCAATAAATTTTAAAAAGTACAAAATTTTGAAAATCAATCTAGAAGCAAAAAACAAATTAACAAAAATTCTAAAAACTGAGACTTAAATTGAAATAAATGTTAATTAAATTATAGCGTATTCAATACTTCAGTAAACATCAAACTCCCTTTAAAACTTGACTATTTTTATTATAGACTCACGTTTTTTTTTTTCTTTAAAAAATATACTTTCAAAAGTTTAACGTTATATTATAAATATAAAAATATAAATTTAACATTATTAATTTGTTTTTGGACTAATTTTTATAATTTATTTTGTTTGAGACTTTTAAAGTTATATCTTGGTAAACTAAATATAATTATTATTTATTACAATTAAGATAAACAAATTGCATCATGGCGTTTTCTTTTATTCTTCAATAAAATATGTTCACAACAATAACGTCAAAACATGTAATGCTTCTTCAAATAAAGTGACATCAAAATTAATAATTTGATAACTATTATGTTTATCTTTAGTGCATTGAAATGTTTAATTGTAAACAATTAATTATCATTTATTATTGCTTTATTTTGTATAATTTTTGTACTCATCGCCAATTATCATTACAAACCTCACTTATAAATGAAAATGTTGAAATTTATATAATTACTCTGTTTTTAGGCCATTTTTTTATAAATTAAAAAACTATTTACAAATATCTCTTTATTTAATCTTTTTCTCTTTAACAGGGATTATTGGAAAACTGATGAATTACATTGGACCCTTGACGATAGTACCTACTATGTGCATTGTAGCATTGACTGTAGTTGAAAAAGGAGTCCATTTAATATCTGGAAATTGGACGACATCATTAGTGTATAGATTCCACTCTAAATATTTATTTTTAATTAAAACAATGAATTTTTCATAGTTAATTTACCAACTAATAAAAAAAAAATTTTATTTTATTTATTGAAAATTATAATGAATTTTAGTGACATATCTCTTTCCTTCCCATAGTACATTTTTTGTATATAATTGAAGGGTCGGCGGGAATAACGTGCCATGTAACACTTTTTTCAATTTCATTTTTTTGCGGAATAACTTGCTATGAGTCTATCTCAATATATTTATAGAATTAGATATTTGATTATGTTTAAAGTTGGAAGAACGTGCTACGTGCAGTCCAAATAATATTTAAACGAAATAACATAAGTAATTTTGTTTTTACTTGATACTGAACAATTTACAAATTGTTACATAGCACGTTATTCCCGCCGACCCTTCAATTCTATTAATACTAATGTAAATGTTGTATGGATTGACATTTAACTGTTTGATACGTCAAAAATATATTATGGACAGAAAAAAAATATGCAATTGAAGTTTTACCCAGAAACTTTATCTCTTTTTTACTTGTTAAGTCTCTTTTTCATTAAAAATGGCTAAGATTTTTTAAAATGGCAATTTAAAGGGGAAAAATCTAGCATCAATATTTTACCATTTATATGTAATGTTTTTCAACAATAATTCTTTATATTTAAGGAGTTATTATTATAAAATCAAAGTGTTTCTTTATGTGTTTTCAGAACGTTGTTTTTCCTGACATTATTTTCTCAGTACTTACGAGATATCACTATTTCTATCCCAATCTTGTCTAAAGTAGAAGGTCTAGTTTACAAAAAACTGAAGATATTTTCGTTATTCTCAGTGAGTAATTTTAGAATATATATACATGCATAATTGCATATATATATATATATATATATACAGGGTGGCCCACCACTCACTGACAACTTAAATAACTTTTGATCCAGTTAATATTTTTAGTTGATTTTTTTTTTAAATAATAGTTATACGTTAGGTCTATAGCTATATCTCAATAATTAATTTTTTTACATTTTATTAAAAATATTAATTATTTTTAAATTTTAAATAAAATGTAAAAAAAAAATCTAAGATAGCTATTTTGTAGAGTAGAATTTAAGAAAAATTTTAGTAAAAAAATATCTTATTAATATTCAGTAGTAAATATTCTGTAGCGTTTTGAAGTTTGTGAAAATTTGAATTTTCATGTACTATTTTACGGTATTAAACATTGAAATACGTATTGAGAAAAGGACAGAAGAAAACGCTATCTTTTCATGATTACTGTGTATACATATGATGATAGTGTGTATACATTACAAACTTGGCATAAATACCATGATAAGAAATTAGATAAGGCAATTATTACTTATCACTCTCATTCAAAAGTATATTGAAAAGATAGCGTTTTCTTCTGTCCTTTTCTCAATACGTATTTCAATGTTTAATACCGTAAAATAGTACATGAAAATTCAAATTTTCACAAACTTCAAAACGCTACAGAATATTTACTACTGAATATTAATAAGATATTTTTTTACTAAAATTTTTCTTAAATTCTACTCTACAAAATAGCTATCTTAGATTTTTTTTTTACATTTTATTTAAAATTTAAAAATAATTAATATTTTTAATAAAATGTAAAAATATTAATTTATGAGATATAGCTATAGACCTAACGTATAACTATTATTTAAAAAAAAAATCAACTAACAATATTAACTGGATCAAAAGTTATTTAAGTTGTCAGTGAGTGGTGGGCCACCCTGTATATATTTATTTATGTTATTTAGTTATATATAACTAATACATGGAATTTTTTCTTACTTATAAATTTAATACTTATATTGTTAGGTATTATTTAGCGTAGGAATTATGTGGATTGCTTGTATTTACATGACTTCTAAAAATGAATTGTCACCAACTGATCCAGCCAATACAGAATCAAAATATGGAGTCTTTTACAATGCACAATTGTTTCGTATACCTTACCCATGTAATTAGAATTTATTATAATATTTTGACATTATCACAGTAATATAAGTTGGATCAAAATTCAAGCGTAGTAAAATTTTCTTGAGCGAGCTATTTTTTTACCTTCCTGATATCTTAAATCACCGTTATTTACGGTTTTAATACAACATATTAATTTTATACACGTGTTTAACTAATTAACATATTTAATTAATTACTATCTTTGATATGATTTCAGTTCAATGGGGATTACCTTTGTTTAATTATAAATCAATAATTGCTATGTTACCTGCACTTTTTGCCAGTATCGTCGAGTCTATTGGTACTTATAATACTTGTGCTAGATTTGCTAGTAAGTTTTACAGTAAAAAAATAATAAAAAATTTGCTTTAATTTTTCATTTATTTTCAGATACTTCATTACCACCATCATCCGCTATAAGTAGAGGAATTGGTGTACAAGGTGTTAATTCGATTTTAGCTGGTCTAACTGGTATGGGCACTGGGGTGAGTGCATCGAGTGAAAATGTTGGACACAACGGTATTTCTCAAGTATGTCAAATTTTTATTTGCAATTAAAATATTTAAAAATTAGATTAATTTTAAATAAAACCTTAGTTTAGTACAATGAACATATTTTTTAAATTTATTATGATAAGTGAGTGTGATACAGAAAAATATAAGAGTGAATTTTTGAAAAAGATGTCTTAATTAGCATCACTTAATTTAATGTGTTTAAATTAACTCTCTATTTTATTCTCCGACCTTAGAAATAGCAGTATTTTAATTATAATATCAATGTTTTTTTTAGGTTTGTAGTAGAATTATTATTCAATATGCAGCAATGATTTTAATACTTATTGCACCTTTTACACGATTAATAGCATTTCTGATAACGCTACCAGATCCCGTTTTAGGTGCTTTGATGTCTGTTTTACTTGCAATGGTTGCAGCTGTTGGTAAATCAATAATTTATCTTGAAACTTCAATTTTTTTGTCAATTTTAAATATTTTTATAAAATGTATTTTCTATTTTAAAAGGTTTGTCTAATCTACAATTCATTAACCTTAATTCAATGAGAAATTTATACATTTTAGGAATATCAATGTTTTTTGGATTGGTAACTAATTTTGTTTATATTTATTTGTTTATAAATTAAAATAGTTTACTAACTGCATATTTCAGGCTCTACCTAAATATATTGTATTACATGACCATCTAGTTTTATCGAAGTATGATTTCCTTAACCAACCATTATTAGTGTTTATGTCTTCTGGTATGTTTATCGGCGGTATAATTGGATTTATTTTAGATAACACAATTCCAGGTAATTCAAGATTTGAATTTATTAAAATACAATTTATGCACAAATATGTGATATGAGGACGGCTGATGTTGTGGGAGATCGTGTCAAGTGGAAGTTTAGGATAAGGATGGGTGACCCCAAGTAGTTGGGATTAAGGCTAGAAAAAAGATGAAGACAATTTATGCACAAATTAAAAAAAATGATTTTTTAATAATACTTGTATATTTCACCATTAATGTTTGTCTCTTTGTTAGATGATAGTATGAGTAAATTTAAAACCAATACGTATTTCATAAATGAAGACGAAAAGCGGTATAACGATATAAGTAACCTAGAAAATGAAAAAATGTATGATATTTCTGAAAAACTAATTGAAAGAATAAATAATGTTTTGACTTTTTTTGTTTAATATACATAACATAATAATTATTTTGTACATTTTTCCGAACTGATTATGCTAAACATATTAAATTTAAGTATTAGCGACAATCATGACATTCATTAATGAAATTAAACAACAAATATTGGTTAATAATACATAATCAAGATTATATTTTAATTTATTTATAGTTAGTATTTATGTATATTTTATTTTATCGACATTTCTAATTACATTTTTTTATAGATATTACATAATTTTTTTATATATTATTATTTGTTTGTAAATATAAATTATTTTACTTTTTATACTTCGGTGTTATTTAGAATTATAAACGTTTTAAATACAACGGGAGAAATTAGTATCGGCTGTTATTTTGTTGAACTTTGATGTATTGTTTTGAATTATTAGGGTTTATACATATTGAAATATAAATTTTCAACAGCTTTCATTAAATAATCTACTTTTAAATACATTGAAATTTTTAACTATTAACTTTTATTTATAATTATAATTGCAATAATCAAAGGTGCATTTATATTTTACGTATCTATTATATTAACGAGTTAATGTTATATACTCGATTGATAACAAAAACGTCAGGATACATTCCATTATGTTGCCTTACAGGAGTATTAAGAAAATATTATCAATATATTAATTGTGTATGCATTTATAGATAATGTATATAATTTTATATAACTCATAAAAAAAAATTCATGCATAAATATCGTAAGTATGGGTTTCAGATCACCTGGACTATCTTTCTGTAAATCTTCCACTAAATACAATTTAAGTAGAATTTTTGAAAAACTATAAATTGTTTTCTAAAAAATACTTGTAAAATAAATACGTGAAATTTTTGTAAGAACAAAATAAATAAATATTACATCATTTTTGACGTTTATTTAATGATTTATATTTTTATTATTGCCAACAATTTTATATACAAACTCCATTAATTAAAAAATTGTATTATTCGCTATATGTAAATTAGTACACAATATTGTTTGGCTTATAAATAAATAAGTCAAATGCAGTTGTTAATATGTAGTAAAATTATAATTAATGATTTTTTGTTTTTAAACAAATGAAAAATACATTTTTGTTATAAATGTTCGATAAATGGTTATTATTTAGTTATGAAACTTAATAAAAACTTAGTTTTGTGTTAAGTTTTTTTTTAATATTTTAGCAATGAAATTAACTTCAAAAATAATTTGTAATGTTTGTGTATTGTTATTTCTTTGTCTATATGTTAATTGTTCTTCTACTTTAAACGATCAGAAAATAATACAAAACGTAGCAGAACAATCGTTAAATATATTAAAAATTATTAAAATGCTTTTACTAGATCCGAATCATTTTTTTTTAAGTATTCAATTATTAACAAAAAATGGAATTCAAATAAATCATTTACTTCAAATTTTATCAAAACCCAAAATTAAATGGCTATGGCAATATAATTTTTTCTTAAATACAGTTTCAGATGTATTTTGCTTAAAAGTAAATTGTGTTGATTATATTCCTGGCAACAAATCTTTTAAAATAGAAAAAGTTTTATCCTCTACAGCACTTTTAGAGAAATTCATTAAAAATTATTTGAAAGATTTTAAAAAAGAAAATATTAAAATATCAGAAAACAAAAATTCAAATGAGCTTATTAATAAAGTCAATGTATCAATAAAAAGAATCGATACTATTTTACCAAATGATTTTAATTACGATAAAATGCTTAAATACTCACCTGATAGTTTATTTCTAAGTCATATTGGAAAAGATTCTAAAAATTTTATCGAACAATTAAAAAAGCTAACAAAAGGACTATTGTGGTCAAAAAATATTTTTGGCGCATTGTCTAAGACTTATACGAAAGCTATAACTACATGGGTTACAGATATTTATTATGATCTTTTAGATTATCAGAGACAAGTAATTTTTATTATAACCATACCCATACTTGCGTTTATTTATATTCATACATATTTAATGATAAGAATGCATAAAGTAGATAAAAGAAGGCTTATAAGTACTTCTTCTAAAACTTTAAAAAAATTATCAAATGCACATATTGATTTGTTCAAAGACTTTTTGGATTTTTTACCATTTATCAATAATTCTGATCTAACATTGTTGTATAATGTTTTAACTACACACAAGCAAAATGACGGCGAATCTAAACAACTTCTAGATATTTTAAATAAATCTATAAAAAAGAAGGAATATATATTAGGTGGACTAATTCTTGTTGATAAATGTTCGCCAATATATGATAATCCTACAAATTCGTTAGAATTGAAGCAAGCTGCTTTAGAGAACTTTGAAATGGCAAAAAAGTACTTCGATCACATTAATAAAATATTTACCGACGTTGATTTTAATCTAATCAATTTATTTGCTAATAGTTTTGTCGAGAATTTAAACCAATGTATACTTTTTTATAATAATGAATTTAAAGAATGTGCTAAGTATTCCTTAAATATCTTGAACTTGGTTAAAAAGCTTATGCAAAATGAAAAAAATATTGAGACAGTTTTGGGTTTATTGAAAAATTATGGCACTGTTGTGGTATACTTATTACAAGCCACATATGGGCACAATGTAAAATGGCTATGGCAACATAATTTGTTTGCAAATTCAGTGTCCGATGTGTTACGACCGAGCAAGAACTGCGTAAACTTTGTACCAGGTAACGATAACACCAAAATTACATCAGTATTAAATTCAATGGAAATAATTCGACAACCTATGTATAGCTATTTAAAAAATGACGAAGAAAATATTTCACTAGTAAGTGAAGAGCCTAAAATCCTCATTCAAAATATTAATACATGTATTGCTAATATAAAAGAAATTTTATGTAAATATCTAAAAGAATTTGGTAAATTAGATTATTACTCGCCTACGAGTTTATTTATAAATCATATTGGCGAGGATGTTAATTTTTTTAAAGATGAATTAATGAAAAAAAGTGTTGGATTGAAATGGTCAGATGAAATTTTCAGTAACTTGCATAAATCATATCAACTAACTTTAGCCGCTTGGGTGACCGATTATTACTATGATCTTTTTGATTATCACAAACAATTGATAACAATTATTGTTTCGCCAATTCTCAGTTTTTTATATATCCATGTCAAATTATTCGGAATTTATTACATATCAACAATTAAAAATGGTTCTATTTCGCTTCTTAAGCAACGGTCTTTTTCTGATAATTTAGATTTATGGCTTTTATTTTGTGATTTGTTCAAAAATTTCTTAGAATTCATAGCTCTAGATTATAATCCAAACCTACGGTCACTTTATGAAACTTTGATGACGTGTAGCAACAAAACCGATTTAAAAAAAATTATATCAAATAATTTGAGTAATACAATATTTATTGCTGAACAACGAGCTAATAGTCTTATTTTAATTGATAAAGAATCAATAAAAAAGATTTATAGTACAATAGAAGTTTCAAATTTTCAAGATATTGTAAAGAAGAATATTAAACTTACCGAAATATATTTATTATTTATAAAAGAAAAATTACAATTTGTGGACTACAATTTTATAAATAGTTTTTTTAGAAGTATATTCGAAGATACTTATGGGACTGAAATGGTTTTGTATTAAAATTATATAAAATAGCTAAAAAATAGTTTGTATTGCTTTAATACATTGGTTCTAATATACAGAGTGGAAGAGATCTAATTAATAACTTTTATAGTTTTTGATCTACTTACATTTTTCACTTTATTTTAATCAATTTTTAAGGGATTAAACTATATTCTAAACTTTTATTTTTATTATATAAATATTATAACTCGACAATTACACATACATTATAAACTTATTTTAAAATTTAATATTATATAATATTTTCAAATTATAAATTTTATTCTCAAAAAAAATTTTACATTATTTTTTTTCAATATTTTGAATAATTACTTTTTAGATTAGTTTTTAGTGCAGAAGGCAACGGGAAAACACTGCACTTATACATTTCACAAGATATACCAATACAATTCGTATTAACCAACTTAACAGTTGTAAAAGTAAAAAAAATGTAATGAAAATTGTTGATACCACAAACTCATATTTTAATTCACCCTTTAATTAAATCTTTAAAGATTTTTAGATTTAATAAATTTAAGTTCGATAAAATTTGATTTTTCTATATTATATGGAATACTAGTATTTATAATTAATGGTAATATTGTAAAATTATCAAATGTTTACAAAATGTTGAAGAATATAAATTTATAATATTGAATTTGTTCACATATTTATATCAATCATTATAATTTAATAATTAAAATATTTTAATGTTATTTTCTATGCATCTCATTTTATTTTAAAATTTAAACGTCTTAATTTTTTCTTATTTCTAATAATGTAGTAATATAAAAAAACTAGGCTCCGCCTAGCTGAGGTCATTCCTTACCAGCAGGGGCATCATTAGTAGGGGTCAGGGTGTGCGGTTGCACCCTTACATTAAAAACAGTCCCAATTGGCCTGTGAAATAATGCATCAATATTTTATACAACTAAAATTTTAAAAACATTGTATTATCATAGTTACATGGGACAATAAACAAATATTCTGTTATCCATTGAGTTAACAATAAATATATCATACTGAACTGTTAATATTCGTAGTGGACGCAATACAATGATATTGATAATCGTAACAGTTTTTAACACGACTTTTTTGGCGCGCAGTCATAGGTAATAATTGATAACAATAATAAACCAACAATTATAAAATTCAACGATTGTTATGACCTCGATAAGTTTTTTACACAAAAGTAATACTTCACAATTAGTATAACAAAAATATAGTAAACATTTAATTATTAAAATGAATAAAATTTTAAAAGGATTAAAAATAAAATAAGTATTGGAAAAATTACAGAATATTATAAAAATATATCTTATAACATATATCTAAATATTTTCATGTCTTATTATATGACTACAAAAAAAAAAAATACAAATTTTTATTTGGAAATATACTTAATAATAACCTTAAATTATTATTTAATACAATAGGTAAGCAAACATTTTTTTACAATTACTATACAATTTGTAAGCATTCTTTTTTAAATAAACAAAATAATTTTGTTTATATTTGTGCCTTTATTTCTCTAAATGGGTGCGTATCACGATTATTTCAAAATAATGTCCAAATAAAAACTATTCACATAAACTTAAAAAAAAAAGCTCATGATTCAGTTAAAAACTTTTAAACTAAATTTTGAGGGTACCTATTCAATATCTCTAGGAAGGTCTGGTAAAATTTTTAAATTTTAAATTGCAATGAGTGTTTTTTAGAAAATTTTAAACTCTCATGTGTTAACAGTGATAAAAAAAAGTTTTCTCATCTTAACATTAATTTTTCCAGAATAATGTCGCTGAGCTCTTTTATAAATAAAAAAACCCAGTACAGAGGGGTCGCGGCACAGTGGTGACGTGGCATAGTTGGATCAAGTATAATGATATCTGACATTGATTAAAATCACTATAAAAAAAAAGACGCTTCGATGCAAATCTTTAGATAGTGTTTAATTTTAAAAAATTGGTGGTTTATCCCAAGTTACATGATCTGATAGTTCCTTATTAATATCCTAATTAAGATAAAGTATTTCGAATGAAAAAGGGATTATTAAAAAATATTATTTCTCATAAAAAAATTGTGTTGATCCATACACTTTTCAAAAAGTTATAACATTTTAAAGTTAAAAATTTTAAAAATAAAATCGAGAATTTTCACACAAAAATAGCATTTTCACCGTGAAAACAAAATAAAGTCCGAAATTTTTTTTTTTAATATTTAAGTATACATAAGCTTTAATTTTCGATATATATAAAAGTGTCAGTATTTCCGGAACAATTTCAAAAATTAAGTTGAAAAAGTTTTACTTTCTATACGCAATTTTATGTTTTGAACCTCCCCTGTATTAAGGGAAATAGTCCGATTAAAAAAAAAAGTATTTCGAATGAAAAAGGGATTATTAAAAAATATTATTTCAAAAAAAAAATTGTGTTGATTCATATATTTTTCAAAAAGTTATAACATTTTAAAGTTAAAAATGTAAAATATAAAATCTAGAATTTTAACACAAAAATAGTATACGGTAGCCATTTTCACTGTGAACAGTCCGAAATTTTTTCCATAATAAAGTATATTACATAAGCTTTAATTTAAGATATATATAAAAGTGTCAGTATTTTCGGAACACTTTCAAAAGTTAAGTTGATAAAGTTAATTTTTTGTGAAAAAGTTGTCATTTTGAATCCCCCCCCTGTGGGCTGATAAAGGGTTAAATTTATAAAATATACCAAATGATAGGTAAAGACATCAAGCATCTATAAAAAAGAAAATTATATTGATTTGTTCATTTTTAAAAAAGTTATGGCAATTTTAAGTAAAAAAATTGAAGAAATGTCAAAAATTAGCGATTTTTAAATTTGTAATTTTTTGGGGGATTTCCTCCGTTTACGGGGAACGAGCGAAATTTTTTCAATTTTTGAGGGTAATGTCTTCGACTAGATACGATTTGTGATCTTTTGATGTATTGTTGAAAGAAATCGGTTTGGTGAGATTTGAGAAAAAGTGGTAACAGACAGAAAAAAAAAAAACATAGTGAAATTAATACCTTGTCAGCTTCGCATCGAAGCTAAAAAAATAGAAAATAAGACATCGTTTTGTAATTTTGATTGCATTTGCTATATGAAGTAAAATATAAATGTTTTATTATATATAAGAAAAATAACGTTATATGGTGATTCAATATACTAATATCTTTAACATTTTTATTTTTTTTTTTTTATTAAAAGGATTCAACTCGTATCTCTCTTAATAACATAATATGTTAAAAAATAAAAGTATGAAATAAATGTATTTTAAAAATTCGTTTTTCCAAAGTGATATTTGATAAACAAAATTATCTATCAATCAACATAAAAGATTGAACCTTCATGAACAGTTTCTGAGTAAACATACTTGGGTAGAATACTTTTTCGAATCATTATATCAATTCTAAAAATTATTTTATATCTTATTTAATAAATAAAATACATTACTCAACCCAAGAGAATCAATAATCAATAATATATGCCTAATAATTTTAATCTTAATCTTAAATACATTTAGTTTAGTAAAATTATAATTTTTTTTTGCAATGTATTCCTAATTATGTTAAAAATTACATAAGTACTGAATACTTAAATTTAAAAAAGCTAATTTTTACATTGAAATATTAGTATTCAGAATAAATGTATATTCCTTGAAATCCTTGAATAATAAAGACTAATAAATTTTATGATTTAGATTCATTAATAATTATTTAAGGTTAGATAAGGTTGTTAAATGTATTTCCATGGTGTTCATGAAAGTATTCTACTAAATATATTGGTAATCCGTAGTTATTAGCTTTATCACAAAGTTTTTTTAAGCAATGATGCATTCCAATTACTAAATAATTTTAAAATATTGAAAACGGTGTAGCCAGTTAAGCGATACATTTCTTTATACATGTTGTCAATGTTGGTATACTAATTGGAGATAAAAACTTGAATTCAACCATGTTCTTGGTGTACAATATTTTGGGTGGTGTCAGTGGTATTACCATCTCACGTTTTCTCACTTTTTCTCATGTACCTTGATTATCTATCCTTCACTTATGAATCTATGGTGTCAGAACTTATGGTTTGCTAGAACCCAACTCCTACCGCTTCCCGTTAGTCTTCGCTCGTCAGGCCTCTTAGACAGCGCTTGCGTGAGTCCATATTTCGTATGTAGAACGAATAATAACAATGTGCGCAAATCTATGATAACAGTGGTGCGTCAGTGTTTATTTCTAAAATTTTCTTGAAAGTATAAGTTTATAGCATTTGATGTTTTGTACTTGAGTTGCTTAAACGATCGGCTCAAAATGTCTCGCCGTCCTGTTATTTGACAGGCTTTGCCCTTTTATTTGTTGTTTACTTGAAGCGCATGATACATAAGCATTAGTCTAGCTTTCTTAATTTTTTAAAGATTGACTTTGCCTAAGTTGTCTATAATAATGGAATCTATTCGAAAATGGTTTTATAAACCAAAGGTGAGTACTATAATTTATTGTTAGATATTATTTAATATTATAAATCAAAAACTTCAATAGTTATCAATTTCCAGCGCATAATTTATATTATATTTTGTAGGAATTGCAATAATATATATCTTATCACTGAAATGAAATATATATGTGCAATTCTTCTTTTTATTTGTTATACTTTATTCATTATATTCGTATAATCAATTGAATTAATCTAAATAAAAAAATGTATGATAATTTGTATTGATTAGGTTACCATCAAATTACGTAGTTATACATATATAGGACTTATTCATATAAATTACTGTTATTATTTCTTATTTAAATACTTAAAAAATATAAATCATTCAAAATACATATTGTTCTAGTACTTATGCTTATCTAAATTACATAAAATAATTTTAGACAATGAAAAAATATTATTATTTATCTCAATATTATTATCTACTATATTCATTACATTATGAATTAAAAAATGTATGATGGTGAATCATTATTTTTATTTGCCACTTTTGTGTTAACTGAAAATTCTAAAAACTATTGAACATAATATTTTGAGAAGTAAATATAATTATCACTTTTTAATTTTCCTTTAGATAAAAAAATTTGTGTATTTCTATTCTTTGAAGGTTGTGGTCTTATTGTTAGATATTATATTATGTGTTAGTGAATTAAAGATTTATAAAAAAGTTGTATTTATATGTATATTATATTATAATTTAAGAATGAAAATTATCTAGCGATTTCATAACAATTACTGAAAATTATTATTATTAAATCAGATTTTATTTGAGTATATACTACAGTAGGATAACTACTTAAGTATTTACATATATGCTTACAGGAATGCAGGGTTTATTTACATGTTCGCTTTTGGTTGATAAGTTATATTTTTTATTATATAATCTATATATTTTTCATATTGTCGTCACTAACAGTTTTAAATTGAAATTTAATATTGTGATTTAAATTTTATAAAAATAAAAGTTTAAAGTTCACAGTTCAATACGTTTTATATTATCTCCCATCCCTTTATAAAAAGCAACTTTTTACATTAGTATATTTTATTAATATTTTACTTAATCACAAGACTTCACTCCTGCATTATTTTAACCAATATCTTAGTTCTTAAGAAACATTTTTCAAGTATACAAGTTAATTTAGAATAAACCAGATGTAACTGATAATTTATATAACATTTGATATAATTAAAATTTTGTTTTTAATAATAGAAATAGTTAAAAAAATTTTTGTTTAATTTTCAAAATTGCCAATTTTTAACATTTTTATTACAAAAGTGATAAATGGGTCCATAACAAGTTGGATGAGTAATTATGAAAATACAGATCATACTTGTGTATATTAATAATGTATACTCCAATTGTATTACACATCCATTCCTTTATGTATTAATTTGCTTGTAACTCAATATAAAGTTATTATTGACCCATTAATTTTTTTTTTTTTTAAGTCTTAAAAACTGGCTATATTGAAATTTAAATAAATGTTTTATAAAAAAAGAAATGTTGAATTACTTTTATTATTAAAAATAAATTATTGAATATATGAATTTAATGTAGTCTAAGAATACATAAATTATTAAAAACAAAGATCACAACAAAATGTGTAATTGTATCAAATGTTGTGAGAGATCAATTAGATCTGGTTTATCTTGTATTACATGTAAATTTTAAATAATTATTCTATTATTTGATAATTATTTGTGTATTATTACTATGTATAATCTCCACTTGTAGTAAATATTTGTTAATAGTTATATAAAGTTGAATTTTAAGATGTATAAAAAATAGCTAATTTTAGTAAAAAGCTTTTTTTTCATGAATATTTATATAATTAGTGGTCATCTCCAAGATTATCGAAAATAGTAATTTAAAAAGTATGTTATCATATTTATATTAAAATACTTAGTTTCATAAAATAAGAAAACACATATATTTGTTAAAGACTTTTTGTAGTGTAATTTTAGCTAATACCAGTGTAATTAGCTTAAAATGTTATGCTGCATAGAAAAAAATTAATGGAAGTTGTTAAAGAGAACTAAATTAAGTTATCATATTTTTTAAGGTAAATATTTAATTATATGAATTTCAGTTAATTATATGATAAAAGTATTTATTAGTTCTTAACAATATTGTGTAGGAAATAATGGTTGTCATAGAATCAAAATTTACTAAAAAAAATTTTCAACTTTTAAAAAAAAGTGTCTTCAATAGAACAATTTAACAATGACTTAATTTTTGCATCATTGTATTTGTTTACAGCATATAATTTTTTAATAATAGTGAAAAGAAACTTATTTTAGTTAAGTTTCCTTTCGATTTAGATAACTTTTTTTTTTTTTTTTGAATTAGAATTCGATAATTGTCTTCCGTCCTAAATTCGTAAATAATCGCTGTAAAGGTTTGCAACACAATGAGCCTAATATAAGCGCATTTATTTATGTTATTAACAATTATTAGTGCAATACTCAAGGTTATATTGGAGGTGAAACTTGTATTCAACATTATATACTACACTCCTACCACCTTAATATTTTAAGTTCTTTGGCTTGTGCGAAATATTTTGAATGTTAAAATGATGTCAAGTTAATAGTAGTACAGTTGTTTTCTTAAGTATTTTTCGCTATTCTATTTTATGTTTTATTTAGGTAATAATATTATTGCAAATAATAACTACTTTTTATATTTTTATTTTATTTGTAAATATTTAAAAATATTATTTTAAATCAGATAATGTAAAATTAATATTTTTCAAGGTTTTTTTACTGGATGAAAAATGCGTTTTTTGTAAAAAGAAAAAAAATGATTATAGAAATTTTATGGTTTTGCTTGAAAAAAAACTATCAGCAAATTTTAAGATCTAAATTAAACATCAATCAATTGAACTATCTAATTCTTTAACGTTTGTTTGGAGATTAGTATGCGAATATGTAAATCTTAAATTTTTACACTTATTCTTGGTAACTGAATATTGTAAAAAGAAGCGAAAGAATATATAATACGTGAGACAAGCGATTTCAATAGGAACATATTCGATTATTTTTGTATAAAAATTGACAATTAAATATCCATAATATCACGATTTCTGAAAAACAGCCAAAATATATTAGATTATTATTCATATACAGTTTCTAGTTTAAAATTTCTGAGTGGGTTACTACTTAATTATAATGAATTTTTAGAACTAATTTCAAGGTTTAAATGTGGCGATCAACTGTAGATAGGTTAGTATGATAGCAGATACTCCTCAGAGGTACTTTAATTTTTTTGATTATGACACGATTAAAGTAAATTTAACTATTGATTTAGTTCTTCATAAAAATATTTTTTTGGAATTACCCATGAATAAGTATATTACAGTTATCAAAATTTACCATAACGAGTTTAAAAAAACATTTTTTAATAATAAAAGTTGGTAACTATCATAGAAATATAATTTTAACGCATGACTAATGATCTTAAGTTAATTGGTTTAATTTCATTTTTTCTCTCGCCAAAGTTTAATTTCTCATGAGTAATATATTTTGAGAAATGGCTTATAAATATATAGTTCTATCTATTTTGTATTGGATGTGGAGTCTGTTACTAGAGAAAAAAAATTAATATATGAGTATTATGATTAAACAAGTATAAAAAAATAAATAAATATTAAAAATTAATAATTTGTCAAAGTATTTCAATTTAACACTTGGAATAAAGACGAACATGACTGCATTATGCTAAATTAATAGAAAGATATTAATAAAATATACATGGCTTTCTTGAGCTAAGAGATTTTGAGTTAAAAAATAATTGGTGAATAATCCAAAATGAACTTTTCTCTGCTTAACATCAGAGCTGTATTTCAGCTTATAATATTGGAAAAAAAAAAATCTTTCTAGGGCCCTTGATACGTCAGTTAGTAAATCCTCAATAAATATTTGTAATATAATACATGTAATTTTTTTTATTTAATGAAATTCTAAAGAATGGATCTGCCATTTACGTCGCGACATCAACGTAAAATCATAGTAGTGTGAGAAAATGGAGGGGAAAGTTCCCTTTTACTTTACATTTTAGATATTATATATAAGCCTTCCTAAATATGTTATTAAAGAGGGTGCTTGATTCGGCTAGTTCCCAGAGTCTCGGGAGACTCCTCCTTCTTAAACATATGAATAATTTTGAGTCTTTTAATGATGTACTATTATATTATTGATTTTTTATTGTGAATTCTAGTAGTTATGTACAAATAGGATTATTACTTATAAAATTATTGCAACAATTTTTTTTTAAACATTCATTGAAGTTAAAAAATAAAATAAGCAATAATAACATAACTTACTTCCATTTATTAATAAGAATATAATAAATACGATTATTTATACTATACATACATTTTCCAAGTTAAAAAAAATGTTTTAATTATAGTAATGATCAGTATTTCAGAAGTTATTAACATTTTTATATATAGGCGAGATTAGAGACTGCGAAATGTTTACTGATAAAAATGACAGCACCCACACCTCACTTCCAGTCATTATTTAAATTGTTAATAACTTCTTAAATAATGGACCAGTAATCTTAATTACATAATTTTCTATTTTATAAAATGGTTAAATATGTATGTTGCTGTTTAAATAAATAAAGTTGACACCCTATAAGACATGTAAGGGATAATCATAAAAAATATTATATAACAGATAAATGGAAATATTATATATATATACTAATACAAGCAAAAAAAAAAAAATTAATTTAATATTATTATTAAATAATAATAAAAAAATTATTTTAAAAGAAATTGAATTAAAAGGGTCACCTTGTATAATAATTGAAAAAAATATTGATTTTACCTTAATTATTAATCTAATGTGCACATTGTATACAATAAAAAATAATTTAATTGTTAAATTTATACGAATTATTCCTAGGTGGTGTTAAATTAAAGTTTTTATTGTTAAATTGTTTTTGGAACTTTATCCAAGATTTTATTGGTGTATTATTTTTACTATTGTATTAAACAAATATTAAAATTAAAGTTATAAACTTCATATGTAGTCGTGTTTATTATCGTTTAAGTACCCTTTTATTATTAGTCATCGTGTTTGGTATATTATATTAATAATATAATTATAAGATATACTGTCCTTGTTATCAAAATAGCAAGAACTAGAACTAACAAGATAAAATAATTTGTAAATATAGTGCTGTGTAAGCATTTTAAATATTAATTAAAATTGATTACCGCCAGCACATTTAACAAATATTGACATTAGCAGTACAAACATTTTTTATATTATGAAATTTTTCTTTAAATTTTCTATTATATGTTTTTATATGATATTAGTTTATTATTAAAAAATGATGTGTGTTGGATTTTGCCAAAAAATAATTTAATCTACTTAAAGTGTCCATTTATGATTTTCTTTTTTTTTTCATTTAATTTTTTTTTTATCCGGACGAAAAATATGTTGTTAAAAAACTTTGGGTGTCATAAAATCTAAAATATCTCCACTTATATTAATAAACAATAGTGTCCTTACTGAATTCTATCAAGAAGATTCTACAATTTGGAATAATAAACCTATTGGTAGTGTACATCGTGAAAATGAAATTTTTTGTAACAATATAAAATTAGCACCAAAAGCGAACTATTTAACAAGTAAAATTATTTTATACATTTGTTTTTTTTCATTTGACTTGATTAGAACGCATTAATTACTTTAATCGAAAAGAGTACTAATATTAGTTTTAATCTTTTAATACAACTAGTTCTTATGATTTTCTTATTCAATTTTTAAACAATAGGTCATTACATAATCAATAATGTTTGATCTTCCATGTGAAAATTACAAATACTGATTTATACAAAATCTATAAGTTCAGTAATTTAGTTAAACTATTCATAAATAATTATAGATAAATTATTTAAAATATATTTGTATTTAATTTTGTATGATTATAATTACTAAAGATTTTTAATTTAAATATTAAATTTATTAAACAAAAATCAGTTGTTATAATATAGATTAAATTTATAATTCACAGTTGAAAATTTTGCGACGTTAATGAATTTCCACATATTGTATGTATCGTTATTATAAACCAGGAAGAAAATATCTTCCTGAAAAAATCTTATGTTATTTCTATTTTTAATAAAGTTTATTATAAATTTTATGGTTCAATGATCAAACTTGCATCATCAGGAAGAAAATTATTCATAGCATAGAAGGTCAGAGTAATGAAGCTATTTTTCTTAATTAAAAATTGCACCTTATTTACTATTTTTAACTAATTAATTTATGTACATTTTGAAATAACATTAAATAGTTTATGAAAATTAAACAAAAATAATAATTTTACACTTATTTATTATATTTTATTTTGTTGGGAACAATAATTTTTTTTTTTATAAAAAAAAATCTGTGCGTGTTAAAAAAAAATGTTTTTAGTTTTGCCTTCATATTATCTTTAAATAATTACCTTTTGTCTCCACATTAAACTGATTACCATGAGCCCGTGTTACATCTATTGTTTTTAGTGTTCCGGGTCTTGCGTCTTCCATACAATTTATAACAGTACAGTATGCGGAAATTAAAGAAACTGTTTCAAGACAATTTAATAATAACTATTTTCTACATTTTTTGTTACAATTTTTACCAAATCTGAGAATAAAACGTTACGGTATGCTTAATGTAATAATGTATTTTCAAGTGAAAATATACACAAGACTATTTAAAAATAGTTACGTATATGTCATATTGCATAATTGGAATTAATTTTTTTTTAATATATTTGTTTTTTGATGACGTACAATATTTGATCCTCCAGTCTTAGTATTTACTCTTGAATGTATGAACTTTTCAGATTAGCAAAATCGCGTTTTTCGTATTTGTGTAAGTTATTATAAATTTATAAATAAATTATATATATATTATATTGATCCCTGACATAAATAAAGAGTTTTTGTTTCATTGACTAATTGAACTATGTTCTAAAAAAAAAAAAAAAACTGTCTTATAATTTACAAATTAAATATCTTCGTTTGCTTTTTCTATTTTTAAATGCGCGACTTGCGCATTTTATATATTAAATTACTCTATATAAAATGAATAGAGTTAATATTCAACTTTACTTATAATATTTCCTATCGTAATATACTACTAGTTTTCATTCAATTCATCAGTTGTCATTGATACCTATTAGTTATTTTTAATAACAATGCAATTTTTAATTGTTAAATTTATAACTTATTCAATTGATAACGTAATATAACTTCATGGTCATCGAATAAAAGTTTTTAGAAACAAAAATAAGTACCTGTAATATTTTTACTCAGTTGAACTGAATTTTATGTTACGACTGTATAGTTACGTATACTAAACATACTTGTATTTTTGTCCTTCGAATTTAGTATAGAAAAGGTAGAAATAACAATGGATGCTTAGTTTCGTAGTTTTTTTAATAGCTGAATTCATAATGTCAAGCTTAATATTTTGAGTTTATATATAATAGTAATACACTATGTTTATTATTGTAAATTCAATAAAATATATAACATTAATTTGTGATTATTGTCAAATTATAAATTTCGATTTATTGATTTTTCACTAATTCTTAAAATAACTCGGTCAAGGTAAATTTTTTAAACTATAATTACTATATTTTGCAAGGTATACTTATTATGTTATATATTTTATTATTTTCTAATACTACAATTAATTAAAATATAAGTTGCAACGTGTTATAATATTCTATTATTTTTTTTTTATTATTATTTTGATATCTTTTTCTCTTGAGAATTTCAGTTGATTTAATATGTAGTTAGTTGGTCAACGTATACAATGATGTCATTTTGCGTCATCAATTATAATAATAATGAATAAAGTATTAAAAAAAATAAAAACCTTTGCTTTTTTTATGGAATTAGAAAAATAATAATTATTATAATGTTGTTTTTCTGATGCGCGAGAGTTAGCAAAAATGTTAATTTCTTTTGTTGTTATTATTTATTCAGTTATTCAAGAAGTAATAGTACAGTTAAGTAACAATAAATAAATAAACTTAATTTTATTTTATGAATAATGTTTACTGTAATCTCTCAAAGTGAAACAAATAAAACTTGACAAACAATTTTTAAAAATTTATGATAATAAAATCTTGTTTCACGTATTTAATTCAGACTTCAGTGTGTTTACGCATTGGAATGGAGATAGGAAGCTAAAAGGTGTTATGTATCTTTGTTAATAGTCACAATATAACTGGTCGTTTCACAAGTACCTTCATCGTCATTCGGGCGGTTCGGAAACTTCAAGGAGAAATTTCACATCACATAATAATAATACAACAATTTTTACTGTTGGACACGTTTTAATTTAGGGACTGGAGCAATACCAATATAAACCGGTTTTGGAATTGAAACCCTTTGATATTACTTAACAAATTAAAATTCTTAGATATTTATACTATAAAACTAAAAATTTAAAAACAAAATTTTTTTTGAAAAAATTAAATCGTTATATTACATTTTTTAACCTTTTGTATCATGAATATTTGAACAAAAACTGTAAAAAATAATAGTTATACAATTAAAATTTCAATTTTGTAGGTGCTTTATTTTTAAATAGATGAAACCATAGATTAATAAAATACAATTATTTAAATTAGGCTAAAGACCATTACTTATGAATGTATTTAATCAAGTCGGATATCATTCAAACTGACAATATTTTAAATTATATGTCCCCATAAAGGTTCCTGATTTAATCTACCATCAACACTAAACATGATAACTATAATATATTTAATACCAGAAATTTTTGTTATATATACTTAGTTATAAAAATTAGTTACCAACACGACATGTTGGCCTCGTTGTGTCTTGTACATTAATACAACCTAATTGTTAATTCTTTTCAAATATAAGTACTATAAATAGCGTTTTATTGTAAAATTGATTATTTCTGTGCCGTTTTTTTTATAGTACTCACTGACGATGGTGTTTTATTCTTTAAATGTTAATTTCACCCACATAAAGTTATTTAAAATTGAATGCAAAATGAAATGTATGAACAACCTCTAATGTTATTAGAGAGTTGTGTTTAGTCCGACGTGCATTGACCGTGAAGAAAAACAGACGCCAAGTGAAAGTATAGCTTGTTTCGGCGATCTGACTCTAAAACACTATCACAGTATTGCAAATAAATTTACCAAAATGACATCAATTGACTTAATTTTTTTGTGTGTCTTAGCGCTTTCTTTTATTCTAATAGGAATTGCTTTATCATTCTGACTGTTGTATTTGATAATATTTTTCTTAAAAAGCAATGATAAAAAATGAAAACCTTTTATTATTTTTTTCTAAAGTATATGTGAGTATACTGAAAAATACTGTTCATTTTATTTACATTTGCGTAATACTATTTGTACGTGAAATTTGAATCCCTCAAATATAAGCCATGTAAAATAACTAAACATTTCAGTTAAATTGTGTGTTTGGGAAATACGTTAGATAAATATTTTTCAAAAAGATACAAATATTTTCAATACAAAAGAAATTGTGAACATTTTTTAACTAAATATCTTAATAAAAAATTAATTAAATAAGTTATTTCTTAGGTTAAAATAGTTTCATTGTTAATATGTTTTTGGCACTCGTTCGAACAATGAACCTGTTATTTGTTTATGCGCTGATAATTAGTTCATATTGAATTGATTAAAAATTTTTATCATAACATCATTAATGAATCTTTGTTTTTATTTATTTATAACATTATCTCCAGTGTTTTATAAAGTAAATCATTGAATTGGTTGGTTTGCTCAGTTCAGTAGATTACAGCGCACAAATGAACTCATGAACTTCTAGACATAATACAAGACCGTATTAATATATTTTGATTTTCATTGTAATGGTTTTTTTTTTCAGAAAGGAGATCGTTCCTTATTAGCTCAATTTTTTTATGCTGATGATGAATTAAATGTGGTTGCTGCAGAATTGGATAGCTTTGATGGTAAAAAGGATCCTCAACGGTGCACTGCCCTTGTAAATCACTTAAGACAATGTCAAGACAAAGTAATTTAAATTTAATTTTTTTTTTATTAAAATGATTATACATTTTTTTTTTTTTGCTTAGGTTTTAACCATTTGTATCAAAATTATGGACGAATTAATACCTGGCGAGCGTGCTAGTCGCGATTTTCGTGTCAAATTTCCTGATGATGTAATTCAAGATAATTTAGCTGGACAGTTGTGGTTTGGTGCTGAAGTAATTATTTATACTAGAGTATTAATCAATCTTCACAAATAATGTAGGCTATAGTTTCATTTTTATAAAAGTGTATGTGAGTTTTAATTATCATTCCAAAACATCCCAATATATTTATGTCTCTAAATCTTACTACCATTATTAAATTTAATTAATTCAAGTTAGTTTTTTTGCTAAAATGTTTTATAATTAAACAAAAAATGAATGTTTTCTACAAGATATTTTTTCAGTTTTGGAGTTAAATAATTACTAAACACTATTATAATAAAAGTGACATTATTAAAAAATATTATATTTAGGAGTAGTACTGCTGTATATCAGACAAGTAACGTAACTTTAGTTTAAATAAATTTTACTATTTTTTTTTTCAGTGTTTATCTGCAGGATCTAGTATAATGAATAGAGAAGCTGAAAGTGGAGCAATGAGACCTCTTGCTAGAGCATTAACTAAATCATTAGAAAAAGTCCGCAGTTTATTAAGAGATGCTAGCTTATGTAGTGACCAAACTCCTCCATGTCTACGTAATTTGATATCATCATTGTGCACTTTTGATCACTTATTAGCAGAATTTGAACTGCGTTATGTGTCAGCAATGGTACCAGTAAAATCTGCTCATGAATATGAATTACAACAACTTGTAGTAGTTCTGTTTTCAGAAACTCTTCAAAGGTAGCAGATTTAATTTTTCTATAAAACAGCTAGGGTAATGGAACCAGTCATTGACATTTCATCAGCTTAGACAATTTTCAGTTTGAAATATCATAGAGTCTTCTTGAAAATTCTGAAAAATAAGCTTTAGTTAGTTACCTTATAAAGTTCTACAATTTATTAAAAAAAAAAATAATTTAATATGTGATTGTCAATAAGTGTTTAGTATGCTAGTGTCTGGTGCTGTTATCTTACTTAAATAGTTATTTTACAATTGTATTAATAAAAAATAATTTTGATCATTTTTAGAGCTCTTGCTAAAGGTTTATTAAGTCAAGAAATGGTAGATGATTATGATCCAGCTCTTATGTTTACTATACCACGTTTAGCTATTGTAGGAGGTCTTCTATTTTATCCTTGTATATCACCTTTATCTTTAGACCAAAATGCCTCAAATATGTCTGATATGTTCCGTCCATTTAGAGTAATTGAAACATTATTTTATTTTAAGATATTTTAAATTTTTAAAGTATAAAATTTTTCAGTCATTGTTAATTAAAATTCGAGAACTTTTATGGACGCTGTCAGATAAAGAACTTTCAACTTTAGAAAGAATGCTTTGTTCATCTGATGATGTAAAATTTGATAATAAATTAACTGCCAATAATCAACACTTAAAGTATATAGTTATTTATTATTTACTATTTAAATTCTGTACTAATTATTGTTGTTACTTAGATCTCATGATATAAGTGATGAAGATTCTGTAAGTCTTTCTTCTAATACTACTGAATTAGTAATTGAAAAAAAAGTTACTACAATTGAACATTGTAATAGAAAAGGTTTTCCTTCTTCATCTCCTCAAGACTTACTTAATAATAATCCTTCAGCAAAAAAATTTGAATCTACTATCATAACAAAAACTAATGATCTTCAAAATAATGAACTAAAAAGTCCAGTATCTTCTAGTACAGCTAATGAATGTATAGAGTCAAGTTCTGTACCAGATGCTGATCTAACTGAGTGTTTAGCTACAGCAACTGAAGTTTTAACTGAGATTTTAGTTAAAACAAACTTGAATATTGAAAGTGAAAATTTGAACATCACTTTAGATTCAAATGGTAATAATTCGGTAGCAAAAATCCCAAATGTCTCTAGTAGTTCAACACAAACCGATTGCCCACCTTCAAGTTCATACCATGTATGTTGCTGTAAAGAATGGAACTGTTGGAAGTCAACTGGAGAAAAAAAAGAAAAGTGTGATGGTTCTGCCCAATGCCAAACTAGTATTTGTTGTAATCATAAAAGAAAAAAATCAAATAACGATACTAAGCTAGAAAATAAAAAATGTGATTGTAGTGTTTCAAGGTACAATAAAAATTGGAGAGAGCTACGAAAAGTAGCAAATAAACGTACAAATGTACTTTGTCGTTTAAAAGTCTGTAATCGAAATTCGAAACCTGTGTAAGTAGACATTTTTATCAATATTCATTGACTACTAACAGTACTTATTAACATTTTTTACATATGTTATGTAAAGTGTACTATAGAGTTAAAATTATTAAAATCAATGTGATAAAAATGTATATGTTAAATATTTTATTAAACAAAATTTATAAATTTTAGTCATAAAATAAATTTAAATAAAAGGTGACTAAATACCAATAAATCTATAATAATTAATAAAATTAAATAATTAAAATAATATGTAACGGGATTTGCTTTTATTAACCATATCTTCAAACATATCTTCAATATGTACAAATTATTAGATTTCATTGGAGTTTTTATATGTTATACTAAAATTTATATACTATAAATTATAAAAAAAAATGCTTTTTTTAGGATCAAAAATCATGAAATGTGTTCAAGTTGTTCAAGTTGTACAACATCATCAGCCGATGAAAGTGATGAAAGTAAAACTGATAGCTCTACTACAGACAGTTCCTGTAATTTTTCATTGCGACGCCAGAAAGCTCGAGCAAAATTCAGGTAAAAACTTTTTAAAAATATTATGTTAAAAAAGTAAAAAAAAACTTAATTTAATATAATTTATACTGACAACACATGAATTTTAATATAATTATTAACGTACCCATGAAATTGGAACTTTTAAAAATTTGATAATCTTATCCTTCATTATTATTCAAAAAAAAAATTAATATATAAGAATATATTTTTAATATTTTTGGTCAAATTACCTCTTAGGTCTGATTTTCATCACTCTTGAGATATCTTTTAAGGCTAATGAATCTTGATCATTTTTGTGACTTATTCTTTTTTAATTTTGGAACAATATTGATGGGTTATCAAATTTTTAAGTCAAAATTTTATTGCCACCCTAATAATTATGTTCTAAAAATATTTTATTTGGATAAACATTTTTATTTATTATCTGTTAAATTTTTTTATTTCAATTGCTTTTATTAACTTCAGTAAAAAAAGTTCTTGCTGTGTACTAATAAATCTATTTCTATTTAGTTTTTGGTAAAAATATCACCCATCTTGTATATAAATTATATTGTGTTTAATTAAAAATAAATTTTTATAATCATTTACAATAATTAAACATTATTACAATTTGACATCTATTATCAGGGATAGGAATTTTATGTATTTATAAATTTTGTTTGAGCTATTTTGAAGGGTCCCCAAGTTTATGCAACTTTTGCCATAGAATTATATAGTAATTCTACAAATATTTTTCGTTTTTGAGGGATATAATCGTAATCCTCTCAAAGATATAACCTCAGTATCAATACATTACTAAGTTTTCTATTAAATTAATAAAAAAAATTTTCTGGCTTATGGTGTGGTCAAAATAATTTTAAATAATATATAAATATATATAATTTCTATCCCTAGTTATTATGAAAAAATATATTGAACTTATTAAAATTTACAATTTTTAATTGAACTACAAATGTGTACAATATTTTCTTGTATTATAAAGTTTTAATTTTTTTTAGGTCTGATGAAGATTTGTTACATAGATTATTTGTTTGTATCTCTGGTGTAGCCGATCAATTACAAACTAATTTTGCGGGTGATTTGCGCAACATATTAAAAGCAGTTTTTCTCATGTCAAATTCTAGTAGTAATCCTGATGATAATGAAAATACAGGTAGGTTTATTGTAAAAAATAAGTAATATGATTTTTTAAATATATACAGAGTGATTTTTTTATCATAACCCACTCAATTATTTACAGAATAATAATAAGTAAAAATTTTTTTTTTATTATTGTCTTAAGTTACACATTATTCTTGAATTATTAAATATGTAATACTTTTTAAGTTCATCCCTTATGCCTGGTAAGGGTGTCAACTTTGTTTTTTTAAATGGTAACACATATTTTTAATTTAATAAAATGTTTGAGTTTTTAATTCAATAGTAAATGGCATTTGAATTTTTAATAAAACTTAATTTGTTTATTAGATATGAACACTCAAAGTTTCAAATTTTTGTTATATAACAGCATTGTTATTATCAATGGTAGTAAGGCAAATTGTTGTGAGTTTATAAATACACTAACTGACAATACAAAAAGTATATCTATTGATAGTCATAATTGATAATAAACAATCCGCGACTGTGATAGCAATATCATAAAAAACCAATTAGCTACCTGTATTTTTAATCCCTAGTGTATTATACACATATATTAACTCAAAAATTTGAAACTTTGAGTGTTCATATCTAATAAAAAAATTAAGTTTTATTAAAAATTCAAATGCCATTTACTATTGAATTAAAAACTCAAACATTTTATTAAATTAAAAATATGTGTTACCATTTAAAAAAACAAAGTTGACACCCTTACCAGGCATAAGGGATAAACTTAAAAAGTATTACATAGTTAATAATTCAAGAATAATGTGTAACTTAAGATAATAATAAAAATAATTTTTTTAATTATTATTATTCTGTAAATAATTGAGTGGGTTATGATAAAAAAATCACCCTGTATATAACTTACCTCAATTTTTTCAAAAATTATAAATGAAAAAAACTAAATTAAATATAATATAAAAATTATGAATAATTAATAGTACTTTAATGTGTTTACATACTAAATTAATATTATTTTGTTCTCTTAGTATGTAATCTTTCAAAAAGTTGTTTTCTATTTTTTTTTAATTTTAAATTTATGTTTAATTACAGATATTATTTTGTTTAGTTTTGATTTCTTTTTTTTTTAATAAATATAACACACATAATTAATTGATAAAAATGGGAACTATACATTCAATATTTATTTAAATAAAATAAATTATTCTTTTAAATAAAATCATTAATTTTTTATTGTATCTTTTTTTGAGAATTTCTGTTAACTTCTATTTAAGTAACTTATATAGTTTCTCTTCTAATGATGGCAGATTTTCTACTGTAATATTAAAATATGAGTTCATCTAATAAATTGTATTCATATGATATAGTTGAGTGTTTTACTAAATTTAATATTAAGATTAACATAGAGGGTAATCTGTTAACTAAGTTTTACATAATATATTTCTAAGTATAATATTATATATATATATATATATATATATATAATTTTTTCCTCTAAGTAACTATTTATTCATACTTTAATTAACACAAAATATATACTTCTTATTTTCCTTTAAGGGTGTATCAACATAAGTTTTTAAATGAAAATATTTATAATATTTAGTTATTAATTGTTTAGCTATAATCTTACAAATTATAAAATGGTCTAAGTAAATAATTATCTTTAAGAACCAATAATTTAAGATATATGGATTTTTACGTTGTAGCAGGTACTTATAGTACAGTGATTCGTAAATGTTTAGAGATAAAAATTAACAGGCGCTTTACATTCATACTTATTCTTATGTGTTGATAAAATCAAAAATACTGGTTTGAAAGTAATTATCAACCAGTCATTTGCTTAATTAGATCATTTTTTTATTTGGAAACTAATTAAACATATATATTTCAATTAGAAAAACTAAAGTTGATACAATATTAATGGGAAAGAAGGGGGAAAAAATTATATTTTAACTTATACTCATGAAGATATTGTGTGAGACATAGTGGATCACCTTAAATATTTACTATTTGATGTTATATATATTTCTATTTAAAGTGTTCCTGTTAATCAAAATATTAATTATTCAATATATATTATTTAGTAATTATAACTGGAAATAACAACTCGTCAATTAATATTGAAAATGGAGAAGAAGCACTTATATGGAGGGGTGAAATAATGGTAGGAGATGTTTCATCATTAACATTAGAAACTCCACCTCCTTGGATACCAGATAATGAAGCACCTTTATGCATGTCATGCAAAGCTATATTTACAGTAGTGCGTAGACGCCATCACTGCCGAAATTGTGGAAAAGTAACTAGTTTAATTTTTGTAAAAATTGTATTTTATTTTTTTGATTATAAATATTTTTTATTTAGGTGTTTTGTTCCCGATGTAGCTCAAATTCTGTCCCACTACCTAGATTTGGCCATTTAAAACCAGTACGAGTTTGTAATCGATGTTTCATTTATCAGGTTACTCCCTTCACATTGGAATCCTCTATCGGACCAGTTCCAATAATAATGCAATCTTAATAAAATTTATTACATTTTATTCTCACATTCCAAAGAATGAAGAAACATCTTTATTTTTGTGTTACCATTTTATCCTAATTGACTGTTTGTTTCTCCTTTTTAACCTTTTGTTTTAGGTGTACTATCCTGGATAAGCATTCTGTTCCTAATTACAATTTTAACATTTTTTTATAAAAATAAACTGTAATAATGACCATTTAATTGGTAATAAATAGATTATGTATTAAATAGATTTATTTTACAATTTTTTTAAGTGTAATAATAAAGTATAATTTGTTTGTTTTTAAAAAGATGCCCTAAGTGTGTAATTTGTTTCAACAACAGAAATATTTTTTTTAGTATAATTTATAGTATAGATTGAAGCTCAATGTGTATTTGTTACATTTATAACATAAATATTTTTTCCAAATTTTAGAATTTTACTAGTTTTAATGCACTTAAAAAATAGTCAATGCTATTGTTAATATTTTTAAATAGTTAATTTTTGTTTTTTTTTCTGTTTGTGAAATTTTGATTGTAAAAAAATTAGTTTATTTTAAACTCTTTATTTTTATACAATTTTATCTAAATGTATTCAGTCAATATATAATGGTAAATTTAGTCGTTGAAATGGCTGTGGACAATATTCAACTCTTACTTTTACTTGAAACAAAACAAATAATTATTTTACTTTTAATTTTGCTTAATTAATTTTATTTTTGGTATTATATTTGTATAATCACACACAATAATTTTAAGAAAACTAGTTCAAGTGATCAATATGTAGTGCAATATATTACCCAAAATATGAGATTGTTTGTTTTGATAGATATGGTAAATCAATGTTATTTTTAAACATCTGGTATATTTTGTTTTGATGTCATTGTTTTTAATTTTAATTTACAACAATGATAATTACAGAATATTTTATATCTCTAATTACTTTATTTATATTTTTTGGAGCAAAAATGTATTAAATTATTTACGGCCAATAGATTTATTTCCATTAATAAAAATAATTAAATCTTGGTTTTTCAACAAATATATGAAACAAAATTAATCCAAAAATTAACACAACATTGAAAGTATTAATTCCAGTAATAACTTTGAATTATTAAGAAAACATATAAAATAGGATTAATTTGCCATTGTTAATACATAACGATGTATGTTATTAACAATTATTTGTGGACAATGGCAATTTTCAAATTAATTCAAAAGTTATCTTTTGTTAATGTAACACAAATTATTGAATTTTTCCAAAACAACATGAACTCTTATTTCTTTATTTTCATCCTGATTACAAGTTGTATGGTTTATAAGCAAAATATTTATTATGGTAATTAAATACAGTATGAAATTGATATTTATTAATTTAAAATTGTAATTTTAACGGAAAAATTATAAAAATATATAAAGCAATTACTTATATGGCTAACATGTATAAAAATTGAAGGGCTTGATACAAAACTACAGAAAATATTTTGTTGTTAATTATGATTAAATGGTTTATAAGGAATTTTAATCAGAGTCAAAAATATAATTTTCTTGATCATTTTTTCGCACTAATTTAAAATTTACAATTAAATTTGTTTTGTTTCCACTAAATTTTAAATTATTACTAATTACTTAAACACGAGTATTAACATATAAAAAAATTATAAGTTAAAATTAAAATCAACAACAGTGGACTAAATCATAGGTGAAATTAGATACAGTATATTAGTATATTATAGAGTAATATAGGATATCACTATACAGAATATAGTTCTGAATATTTCAATTGTAGCATCTAATTAAACACCAATAGCTACATAGACATGATTAGTTTTTCTATTGAAATGATTTTTTACGATAAATATTTAATGATCAATTTTAAACTCGCAAGTTGAACTAAAAAATAAGTTAAAAAGTTCAACATTTTTAAATTATAAACTTTCATAAAAATTAATTTAAAGTACCAAATAATAGGTTAAACATGACATTTTAAAACTTAAGTTTTCACCAATTATTTTTAACATATTAAAAATCAATTTTTATATGTAAATACTAGTTTTTAAAAATTAGTAATAATCTTAAAAAAAAGAGGCGATGGAAAAGATCTAATTGTAAAAAATCAGCGCAAAAATGTGGTTAAGCAAAGTATATTTTGGTCTACGATTATTAAAAAGTGTTACATTTTAGTTGTATGATTTAACTGTGTAATACAGTTATTATATTTTATTACTATTTTACTTTACAAAAAGGTCTTTTTGAAGTTACCACTTACCACTTTTTACAGTAGATATTCGTCTAAATTTCCAATATATGGTGATTATAAGTTAACTAAATTAAAATTTATAAATAAAAAAGTTAAATATTAAACTTTGTAGTTGAAATCTATTATCATACCAAACGTATTTCGACAACATGTACTTTAAAACATTTGAAGTGAACGATACTTTTCGATTAATTAAGTGGTTCATAATAATTGTTATCATTATTTTTGAGTTGTCTCTGTAATCTAATATCTACAAATTATAGAGATAACTTAAAAAAAATTCAACATGTTATATCAAATATTTTTTATTTTGATTTCTGTATTTTTTTTACAAATAGGTTATTTTATTACATTTATCGACACAAATAAAAAAAAAAAGCCGATAGTAAACCATTTGTTGATGAAGTAATCTTGATTATTATTTATATGGTAATGGTTTCAAACAAAGAGTCCACTTAAGAGATGCGTGAAGTTAAACCGTGCGATTATCAGATTTGTCGCGTTATTCCCCTGAGACCTACAAAATTAATTTTGTATAAGGCTAATTTTATTTTGAATAAGTTGTATGGTATGCGTTTTGAAGAGATACAAGCCATCTAGTCGTGTGCACCCATCAAAACGTAGTGTTTATAACTCAATAAATGGACGGCGTCGTGATCGTATCCAGTCGTATTGTGTAGCGGCAACAGCACACGGACCGCACAGGGAGGAGGCGCGTGCTCCAAACAAATGCGGAGTATTAAAAGCAAGACACCCGTTTTGGAAAAATGGAGTTTGTATGAACCGTAAGCAGTGGTGCGAGACGGACAAAAACAGACACGTTAACCCCTCTCAGTCTACTCCATAAAGATTACATAGTAATAAGCTCATCTTTTCCCTCTCGCCTTTTGTATTATTTTGGAGTTTTAACGAAATTGCCGTGTAATCAAATTACGCACCCCCAGTCAATATTGTCTTTTTTATACGCGATGTGACCATAAAATGTTTAAAAAAATACGAATATACGACACAGCCATACATCATATTTTATATTTATTTATTTTTTCTGTAAGCGCGGCACATCGGTTTCTTAATATTTGTACTGATAGTATTGTGAACTTCATTAAATTTATTCAAAAATATAACATTTTCTCAATCACATTATTTGTTAAAATAATGATAATGCTATGTAATGATTCCCAGAAACATTACGTTTTTCGAATGATGGATTATTTGTGACTTTTTCTAAAAACTGAATGGTCACATATTTGTGGTCTTCAGATATTTTATGATAAAAGTGTTTTCTGTTGCAGTGGCGCAACCAAAAAATAATTTAAACGCTACCCTTAAAAATAAATAAAGGGTAATTATCTTTTTTTTCTCACTAAAAAATGTTTATCTGCACTGGTAAATGTTATCATCGTGTCTATAACATCTAAACATCGCTAATAATTTTGAAAGGAAAGGTGTACACCCCTAACCTCTTCATGGTTGTTCCAAAAAAGAAAAAGTCAATCTTACTGAGAAAGTTTCATTTTTATAATTTAAAAATGTTAATTTAAATTATTTATCATTGAAAATCTAAATTTCGCACAATTAATTAATTCCTCAACACGTCTGTCTAGTTCAAAATATTTTCATTGAATTTTGTTTCTTGATATAATTACATTATTTGAAATAACGTGACTATTATGTAGAAGATGAGGTACAACAAATTTTTTTTATTATTCTCTTATTTAGCAATCATTCGTTGCACGCAAACAAATCGTCAAATGGTAGTAAATAAGACGTGTAATAACTGAGACCTCAGTCGCCAGTCATTTAACACAAAATAATAGGTAGGCTTGGCGCTTATATATGAGTGGTACTGAACCGCCAAATTGAGCCTTTCGTTTTTTTTAACTGTTGCGGTTTTTGTTGTACACACACATCGGCACCGGAAATGAAGAAATTGGATGATTCTTGCACATTGGTTAGAACACGATAATTTAATGTGTAGTTTTTCTTTCAATCAAAAATTAATGGCGAATAAGAACAGAAAAGATTATAGCTCAGAGTGTTATACAATTGAATTTCTACAAAGAAATAGGCACTGGGAAATTTTTATAATTATTATTTCAAATTCAATTTTATTGGGAATAACACGTCGGCCACTCGATTCAAAATAATACAACTAAACATTAAAAAAATTCATTACTTATCTTTTAATTTCAGCACCTTTAATTTAATGATTTTTAATACTTTAATTAACGTGTTTTTTTCAGTGTTTGAACTTAAGAATAATTGTTATTATACGATGCTTAATGTACTCTTTATTAGAAGCCATTATAATTACATTGTTCAAGGGCATAACTTTAAAAATAATTATTGGGTGTTGTACAAAATAATTAATCGCTAATTACTAGAGTAAAATGGAAACTTGTACAAATTTTCCTAAAATTAAAAAATAAATGTTCTATATATCTAAAAGTTATAAAACAGTTAAAGAATGCATCTATACATAAATATTGTTTGTTCTTAAAATCAATTTTATTAAAAACTAGTTGTTTTCTAAATAGAAGAAAAGTTAAAACAAGTGGAAAAGATATATAATATTAGTGATATTATACATCAAAGGATTCCTTATATTTGGTGTATTTATGCATTTCTGTCTTTGTAAACGCTATTTGAGGGAATAATTTAAATATAATTTACCAATTTTATCACAAAAATTTCATACATTTTACTATACTAATATATTAAATAGTTCAAATATTCCAAAATACCTCAAAAATATGTAAAATGTATTTATTTAAAAAGTAGTAATAAAAGTAATAAATGCTCTTACAGAATGTTTAGTGTTAATTCACTAGTATCCTTTTTTTTTGATTGTCTGTATTCGAAATTGATGTTCAAAAATCTAAAAAAATGCTTATCAATTATAAGGTTTTGATGCATTGTTTGTTATTTTTTTAACTATGTTATTATAATTTTTATAGTTGTGATACCATATGAATAATATTCATTGGCAAAATCATATAATGATGTAAAGGGTTATATGAATAGACTAGTGGTAGGGGCAGAGGGTGACATGTAACAATAACACAATAATATACAACAGTCCTTTCACGGCTAATCGCTCATCGATGTCCATCGTCACCGGTAACAACATCACATGTACACATGCCCTGGAGACGGGGTGATGTTCAATGCTGCGACGAATGACCCCCTCAACAGTCGACAATCAACTGTGTCGGCTAATCCCATTAAATGACAACGGCGGTGGCATCGGCGGCGGCAGCAACAACACATCCGGCCTCGATTAAATCTTTATCCACTTATATTTTCATTAACTAAAACTTATTCCCAGAGCGACCGCGTTGAACGTTCGACAAACATACACACGGCCATCGTAACTTCCCCACGTTGTCAGCCACTCGAATAACGATTAATGGTCGCATCCAATAACGTCGTTGTTTGTCGTCATAAAAACTGACTTGTCGCACAGACAAACGTGTACTCGCAATAAACTGTCCACTGCAAAGATTGCACAGAATATTAGGCGAGACGTGTAATAATCACAAGGAGAAGCATTAGATGGCATTACATATCAGCGTGTTTCCATCAACTATAACGTTCATTAACATTTCATTTTTTACATCCAAACTATATTGACTTATTTTAAATTAAACTGACTTGTTGATATTTTTAATAGTATAAAAAAACTTAACATAATATATGTTTCCCCGACGTAATGATTTGTCGTACAATTTTGGGGTAGTTATTTTCACGTTTTGTTAAAATTATATTAAATTAATAAAAGAAAACCTACCACTATTCATTTAAGGGAAAATTCGAAATATAAATCAATATTTTTACAAACTGAAAACTAATCGAGTAATTAACTGCCGCAAATTGTAATTAGTATTTAATTCAACTAAATTTAACTAATAATAATTATTTATGAACCAATAAGGTTTTATTTTATTTTACTCACACGAAAAAAACAATTGTGAAGCTAATTTATTTTTATTTAAGTGGTATTCCTGGAAAACTTTGATTCAACTAGAATCGGCTTACTTTAAAGAGAGTTGCCAAATGATACCATTCGACAGCTCTCCATCGGTACCCGTCATAATCATTAAATGTAGTCACGACATAATAATACGAAGGCGTGTCGGTCATCTACTTCAAGACGATATACTTTTGTTGTAAAGGCCAGTTCAGTCAAAACGCATCTCAGGTGTGCGTGTGTACGAATTGCAATCGGAAGCGATGGCGTCGTTGTGCTTATGATAATTGATACTGTCAGTACCGCGTATGTTGTTAAGGTTGTGTAGTTCCAATTGATAAAAATAAAATGAAGTACGAAAATTTCGCTTGTAGTAAAAATAACGAGTATAATTATAATAATAGTAAAAAAAAATGAACCGTATGGGAATATCGGCAAAGATGGCATGAATGAAACTGGTTGATTGAGGGCGTGTGTAGTTTTTTCATTTTCTCGGTCTTTTGCTGTGCGCCGACATCGTCTGTTGATTAGAGACCAAAGAACCCGACGACGCAAAAACCACACAAGAAGTCGCCTTCATTTCACTGCTGTCGGTTTACAAAAATACTGTACCTAAGCAGTGACGGCAACCGGTCCGGTCGTTGTTTAAAAACAAACACGCCTTTGGACGACCCACCGCGGAAATTGCCAAGTACCTTCAACTATACAGACCTGCACTGTGTAATACGATTTAAACACACACACACTGTGTTAACATTATTACTATGCACTACATTATATTTACACATAGTATTTCTATTATACTAGTTTATCGAACATACCGATTGCGCAACGAATAAGGCAGTAACTCGCTTTTTCTTACTTTTCAGGAGATCAAAAATAAAATTTATTTTCTTATTACACTCTATGTGTTTATCAATTTTCCAAGTAGTTTGATTTCGATTCAAACTAAATTTTCGATGAAAGTTATTATTAGATGCGTAAAACATAAATCCAAATAGCTCATAATCTCAAAGTTGAATTTTTCAAGTTACTGTCTTATTTATTACGACAGGGGAATATAAATTGTATTAACAGCACCATACATGATTTTTGCATTTTTTTATTATATGTAACCCAAATAACAGTTATTTGGGTTACATATAATAAAAAAATAAAAGAATAGTAACTATTCTCTTAATTAGGCTAGTACATTAAATTTTAATTTTTTTTCGACTTGATATATATATAAGTTTGTAATTGAGTTTTTATTGATGTTTCAATGAATCTATTACAAAACATTAAGTATAAAGTTATACCGAAGACCATACAGTTCATGGTTCTTAGTTATTGAGCTTTCTTAGTAAACTTAATAATTTTTTTTAAATTACATTTCATTTTTTTAAATGAAAATTTTATATCAATGGCATTTAATTTTTTTGTATAAATACTAATGCTAATCAAGGTGAAATAGTCAATAAAAAATTAAATATTTAGATAGAGTTAAGTTAATGTAATGTAAAATGTGTACATTGTATTCAAATCCAGAACGACCCATTAAGTTAAATGTTGATTATCATTTTTATTGGTTTTTACACATTAGTGAGATGGTAAGTGGTTTTTCGAACCGGTCCCTTGGTTTCTCATAAATTTATGTTCGTAGAATCATTTGTTTGGTCTTCGATTTTTATTATCTTAAATTGGTATATTTAAAGACTCAGCATTTTGCCGCCTTACCCCTTTATATTTTTTAACGTTTTGGATACCATAAATATTATTTGACTCGAAGTAAGATATGATAATTTTACTAAATCTAAAAAAATATCTTTATTAGTTGAAATGTTTATATCTGGATATAAACGGATACTGTTGAATATTGTATGTTTACTTAGATATATTTCATCGACACATAATAATTTTGTCTTAGATAATCTAAAATTTTTTTGAATGATTCTATACAAACAATTTTTTAGTTGATTTTTTTAATTATATTTTTAATAATATTCATTATAATTTTAATTCAAGAAGTTTTGAACTCTACGCCAAGAAAGGAAATTGAAAGTAATCATTAATAAAATATTCACCAACCTACAAATGAATACTATTTCTACGTCTTTACTGAAACAGTGCGTATCTCAGTTTTATAATTGCATTTTATCAAAAACAAATTTAACTTATAATTGTTCAATATAAAAGTTATATTATATTTTCATAACTCACAATTAAACTACCAGTCCACGAAAAAAAAAAAAAAAGTGTTTGAAAACGCATATTGTATCATTGATTTGTTTTTTTTATAAAATTTTGATAGGATTCTAAAAGCCTTCATGTTTTTTCTCATCTTTAGTTAGTTCGCTCAACACTGTACTATTGTTTACGTACCGTTCCCATAAAAATGACAATGATTATAACAAATAAAAAATATTTTATGATTATTAATCGACCTATTTAATTTTTACTTTGTCAATACAGATCACATCAAAATCAATTCAATCATATTGATAAACATTTAAATTTTTAAAAAATTTAAAAGATGCATATTCGGGCGTAAATATAAGCAGCGGCATATTGTTCCTATGCCTCACAAAATAAGAATTATTCTTTAAAAAAATAGTTTTTATAAAAATTAAACATATTATATAGCTTCCTCAAATTTCTTCTGGATACTCACTTTGTACTATTGCAGTATAAGAGTCAATTTCTCATTATAAAAGCAATTACTCCATTTGTACTAGATTAAGTAATTAATCCACATTCACTCATAATTATAATTTTTTATTGATTCAATAAATGTATTTTTCTATTAGATTAATTTTTCTTTTGTACGACAGTTTTATAATATCATTTTAAATTAATGAATTATAGCTAAAAATAATGGTTTTTTCAGCAAATGACAAAAGAATTGTAAGATTCAAAATATGATAAGAATTTTTAGTACATTGATTGACTTCCTGTGATATCGTGACACGACTTGGTTTTACACAATAGATTGTAAGCAATTCTGTGTTTGATTACACCGGTAGTAGGTAGTTTAATCACTAGTGTAACACAAGTAATTATGAGACGAGTTCTGTTTACGTAATGACTAGTTTTCCAACAGTTGTAAAAATTTATTCTTACAATTTTTTTATTTATCACAAAAACAGGTTTCAGTTTGATAACTATTATACAAAAATACTGTAATAATGATCGAAAAATTTATTTTAGGTAAAAATAAACAGACCCGCACTACACCTCTAGTCATTATATTACAGTGTTAACAACTTCCACAATGCTGATTAAAAGTTATTAACGACTAGACATGTTCTTAGTTAGATCATTTTATTATTTGTAAGCTGATTACCATATATATTTTTATTTAAAAAACAAAATTTTATACAATAATATGGGAAAAGAGGGTGACAGGACCAGCCTTTTTTTTTGTAGAGTTTTCATAGAGTGTAAGATATTTTTTACTTCCAAAAAGGAAAAATTATAATATGTTTTATATTTTCAAAGATAACGCTTAAGTCATAGTCAATCAATTTAAAATTTCATATCAATTGTAACAACTTATTCTCAATTTAAAAAATAATTTTCAACTAAAACTAGAAAATTATATAATTTTTGTACCTTTTATACGTAAATGATAAGCTATTGGTTGTATTTTACGGTTTTTTTACAGTTGTTTAGTTGATTGTCAATTATGTACATTGTTAATTCATATTCTCAAAATCTTTATTATTGTTTTTTTATAACACAGATGGTTATGGAAGAGTGCAATAAAATCAAAAGCTAGGGAGTTAAAAAGGTCGAGCTCAATATGTACTTCACGATTACAGTAGTCATTTAATGGTGTCACCAGGGAATCGTTCTATGGAAGTGGAAGCCCTACGTATGCGTACGTCCATCATTGTATTCTATTTTCAACTGCTGTTTCAATACACAAAGGTATTGCTGTATTTATATAACTCACCCACGGATATAGGGTTTCATCAAATTTGTTTTTCGTGTGTATTATAGCTAGATAAACTAATGAAATTCACTTTCATGAAAGCTGTAAATATCATTACTATACATGTTTATAATTTTTTACTAGTGTTTAATACAACACATAAAATTATTCATACTTAATTTATTATTTTAATGGTTTTTTTTTATAATCTACAATACTTTTCTGTATGTTTTCAAAAAAAATTTTTTTTTTTTTACTTATCAATAATTAAACGAGTGATTTAAGTTCTGGTAAATTATATTATATATATAATATATATTATTGTGAGCTAAAACTGATAATAATAAATGACAATTCATTATTATTACACAGTTTAGAAAAAGACTAGTAAAATTCAACTTTATAAAAAAATAATAATTTTTATTTGAACAACAACGTTAACATATATTTAAATAATAAAAATGAAAATAATTTGGATTACTAAATATCTTTGAAAATACAGCGTAGGTTTAAGATAAATTGAAATTTTCAACAATTCTAATAATAATAAATTATTACATATAAATAGATTTACAGTAAAATTACAATTAATGAAACGATATAAATTAAATGCATCAATTAAATATTAGCACAATAAATAATGTACAATAAATTCAATACATTTAATATATTAATAGTATCAATACACTTATTCTAGAATTATTAAAATGATCTATGCTATCTTAGATTAATTGAAAAAGATGATATCATTTGTTTTCTTCTCCATTCTTATTGATTCGATCTAAAATATAACGTGAGTTTTTTTTGTTAGTAAATTATTTTAATACTATACTAATTATGCTTAAATTTAAACCCAGATAAGTATTCAAGAATCTACTTTAGGTTTCTCTCTGAATGAAATTCTAATAAGCATTAGATAAATGTTTTTTGGATACTTTGATTAACAAAATATTATAACTGAATTTAAAAATTAGGTTTAATTGTATTTTTTTATCTGGTCAATAGGCTCTTATTGGAATGATGAAAGGTAACTCACTTAAATAAACAAATGGTTGGTATAAAACACGAAAAAATCTATAACTCACGAATAATATAAAAATTGAATTAGTTATTGAAGAATTAATTTAATTTAATAATATTGCCCCAGATAATCACGTGTTGTTTGACACAAATTGAGTTACTTTGTTAATAAACAAAATAAATAGAACAGCAAATGTTAAAATTAAATATTTTACTTTAATTGAAAAATGTCTTAAATAATTTAAAAACAAATATCACATGTACTTTATTTTTATTAAATAAACCTATTGATGGTTAAATTAAATTTGATTTTATTGATTTTTAATACTCATAAAAATTAGTTTCCATTTTTAAAGACAAAAAAAAGAAAGCCAGAGACTTTGTATTTATTAAATGTTTTAAACTACCATGCATGATAATATTCTGTACTAACCTAAAATACATTTTTGCATAAAATTCAATGGTTGAATTTCAAATATATCGTCATGAGGAATTGATCTCTTAATAATTTTGAATAAATTTTCATGAAGCGTCAACGATTGGATGTATTTACTAATTTCATTTACTTCATTATTAATTTCTTGAATTACTGTTTTATAAATATTTTTTGATAATATGTTTGAAAATTTGTCATCAACATTGAATTCTAGTTGATTTAACTGCATAGGTTTTGTGCACATTAACAAAAGTTCTGAAACCTTTTCAGGTTGCATAAATTTAATGGTGTCATTCGTTGTCTTATTTAAAATATCATTAAATTTATCAAACATATTTATTAGATATTCTGTCGGTTTATTTGCAAACAAGTCCAATTCTATAAATGTTTTTACGTTGTATCTCATTGAAGTACCAATATTTATCATAGCTTCAGTAGATTTCATGGGTGTATTTCTATCACAATATATTTTTTTAAACGCAAGCAAATAATGACTAATACACTTGAAAACGGGATAAACAGTCGCTGCTAATACTTGTTGTTGGAAAGATTTCGTGTACTCTGCATTGTAGTTTGACGACGCACAATAAAATAATTCTACTATAGTGTTTTTAATTTCTACATTATTGTTTACACTCAAGACAACTTCTCTTAAAGAGTTCAATCTTTCGTTCGTTTCTTTAAAAGCATAAAAATTTGTTGATACGTCAAAAGCTGCACTGCCTGTCATCAAATCGTAAAACAAAATGTTGGTTGGATGGAAATCATGATAAGTGCCATTGTCGAGACTCTTTTTAAACGTTGAAAAGCTATGGTATTTTAACAATTGTAAGCTTTCTATGATCTTTTTTGTACTTAGACTGGTTATTTCAATTCTGCTAATTTGATCAACATAACATTTTAGGTCTTTAAATCGTTCATCAATATTGGGTTCTTTGAGTGTTTGACATTTTAAATTTGTAAACTTTGAAAGGCGCTCGTTTATCATCTTGTAATTATTAATAAATTCTTTTCTTTTTAATTGAATATTATTGTTTTTAAGCGAATCAATTTTTAATTTCCCTTGAAGATTATTTATGTATAAATTAACAGACATTAATTCTGAAGCAAAAATATCACTTTGTACTGTTCTTAACTCGTCAAGCATTGCTAAAATATATTCTGATTGGAACTGAAGGTTTGAATCATAATTAATAAGGTTATCTGATGTAAATATTTCAATTCCATTTTTGGAGTGTCTTGTTAAGAAAAGTTGTTCATTCAACTGTAAAAATTTCAACGTAAACTTTATAAATAGACAATTTAATGATGTGGCATCTTTATTTTTTTTCATCGGTTTATCTAAAAAAATCATCATCATATTAAAATTAATTTTTGCTTTTAATTAAGTATTAAAGTTTAAGTGTATTAATGGTAACGAAAACTATATATTTACAATTATTTATAATGTTTATTCTTTTTGTAATGAATATGTTATAAAATAATATACAGAATAAGTCACAAAGATATAATAAGTCGAATAACTTTTAATTCAATTATCATTTTGTTGAATTAAAAAAAAAAATTATTACCTTCTAAAATTACGTTCAAAGTACATATTTTATTTTACTTATCACTGATAAAAATAATAATAATAATACAATTTTTTTGTTTTTTCAAAATGTCGAAATAAACATTACTTAGTATTTTTCTTAGAAAAATTTTAGACGGCTTAATGAAATTATAAGACGAGTTTTTATCTAGTTACAATAGTTTCAATACATAGAGTGGTTATGGAATGTGGGCGGAGTATATCTACACCAGTACGGGCTATAAAAACCTAACAATTTTTATTTTAGCTTCGATGCGAAGCTGAGAAGGTATTGGTTTTACTATGATGTGTTTTTTTTTTTTTTTTTTTTTTTTTTTTTTTTTTTGTTTT